TGATTTAAGGACAAAAGTTACATCTCCACAAAACATTATCAAAGCAAAACCATTTGCTGAGAGAATGCTAATGCAGAGGAACATCATAAAACCCTGCAGCCGAATAACTGTTTAAGTTAAAAAAAAAACAAAAAACGTATTATGAGTAAATACATTTATTAAAACAGATATGAAGTAGTTATGTCTCAGAATTTAGAAACCTCAGTTCATTTGTTTGTAACACTGCCTAAGTATGTTGCTTGGGGATCTCAGTACTTGCAAACCTTTTCTTCACCATGTTTTTTAATGGAGTGTTTAAAAGAAAGTGAGATTTTTCTTTCAGGCTGCTTAAGCATCATGGGAATTGTAATTTACAAAGATCTGTGTTGGCAAGGATTGCACTGAATTCATTAAAGGAACACTATAGTTACCTAGACCACTTCATATTAATGAAGTGGTCTGGGTGCAGGGTCCTCTGTCTTTTTGACCCAGCAGTGTACATTCTGAGGCTGAATTTTGGTAGGAGGATGGGGGGGTATGGGAGGATGGGAGGAGGAAGGCTCTTTAAATTAACCCTTTCTTGACTATGAGGGGTGGGGTGGCTGGCTGTTCTGCAAAGGCATAGTTACAATATAGCTTTAGGAATAGTTTTGTATTCCTCACACTATCACTAGCACATATGAGCTTCCTGCATGCTCTACCAGTCTATTATCAGCAGGGGATGATAAATTTGAAACTAAAGTTCAAGTCAGTAAAGCAGGATATGAAAATTTCTAATGTAAACACACTGTGCTTTCAGATCTGATTTGAAAATGAAACAATTTTTTTGTGCTCCTCCTCTTACAGCATCACAGCGACCTGGGAATTTAATGCACCGCTTACGTATTATACCTTCCCTTTAATGTCCAGCATGGTTTCAGGAAGTTAAACTCTGTGTAAATGCAGGAAGCCCCTCTAGTGCAGCCACTAGACGCAGTCGTGTCCCTGAAATGCAAACATTAGTTTCTCTAAAACTGCAATGTTATACTTTGCAGGATTAAGGGGACAGGGACACTGCACCCAGATCATTTAAATGAGATCAAGTGGTGTTGGTGCCCATAGTGTTCCTTTAAACAGGTTTTACAATAAAGGAAGTATAAATATTAGATCTCACTTTACAGTAGTGGGTCCCAAACTTTTTAAGTTTAAGGTGCACTTAATAATTTTAATATTTTTTTTTTTAAGGTGCCCCAAGTCAAAACAAAGTTTTAGGTTGTATATCTGTACAGCTCTGCGGTATAGACTGGCGCTGTAGTATAGTGTTGGTGTTTGATTGAAGGGGTGCTTGTATATCATTTTAGTGTTTTGATACATTGGTGTGTTTTTGTATTTGATGTTCGCATTTAAAAGCGGATGTACATTTGTGGGTAGTATTGGTGCTTGAGTGAAGGGGTGTGTTTGTATATAATTTTGAAGTTTGAATGCAGGGGTGTGTTAGTATGTAATATGTGTGTTTGCATGTTGTGCTGTTTGATTGCATGGATGTGTGCATATACATATTAACACATACATGTGATAATTTTTTTTTATATCTGCAGCCACCCTTTTTGGCTTACCTTTTGTGTCCAGGAGGATGGCTTGCTTTGGATCCTAATGATGTTGACTGAGGCAGATGGGAGTGAGCATGCAGCAGCTCACTCCAGCATCTTTTCTGCCTCCATGATGTTGTGAATGGGACAACCGGTTCGGGCCCCATTGCTAAAACCTTTTGTGTGCCAGTCATGGGGCCCCAAGGGCCAGTTTGGGAACTGCTGCTTTACAGGGCATATTAAGTTAGGCTGTGCATGTTACATACTAGGCGGTGTGGCTACATCTGCATGAACAAAATGTTTGAACTCCTAAATGGCAAGGGCATGATCTATACACCAAAAAATGCTTAAAGGAACACTATAGGGTCAGGAATGCAATCATGTATTCCTAATGATTAAAGGACCACTATAGACACCCAGACCACTTCAGCTTAATGAAGTGGTCTGGGTGCCAGGTCCATCTAGGGTTAACCCTGCCTGCTGTAAACATAGCAGTTTCAGAGAATGCACGTTAGTCGATGATGTCGGAAGGAGGAGAGTCCCCAGCACCGAGGAGAAAGGTAAGATTTTAACCCCTTCCTCCCACTTCAGCCCAGCGGGAGGGGGGCCATGAGGGTGGGGGTGGGGGTGGATCTAAAGAATAGTGCCAGGAAAACGAGTTTGTTATCCTGGAACTATAGTGGTCCTTTAAAATCACTATCTGGCCCATCCTTGCCCTCCTACACAGTAAAATCTTACCTTGTATTAGTTTACCCGTGCTGGGTCCGCCCCCGATGTGCCTCCTTGGCTGATAGGAAATCATTGGATTGACTGAGATCATCAAGAAGTTGAGCAGTGGGCGGAGCCAAACACCGTCCTGGCCAATCCGGATCTCCTCATAAAGATGCATTGAATCAATGGATCTGTACAGGCAAAGTTCATTGTTTACGTGGAGATGCTGAATGAGTGTGCAGCACTGCCCTATAAAGCATCTCTAGCAGCCTTCAGAGGAGTGGCCACTGGAGGTGTCCCTAGGGAGCAATGTAAACACAGTCTTTTCTCTGAATAGACCGTGTTTACAACAAAAAGTGTGCAGGAACTGCCTATACTCACCATAACAACTACATTAAGCTGTAGTTGTTCTGGTGACTATATAGTGTCCCTTTAATTATAGGGTTAATAGGTGTCCTCCCCCCCCCCCTCACCCCCCCCGCCTCTCGTTGGGCTGAAGGGTTAAAACCCCTTGAACCACTTTCCTTAATCCAGTGCTGGGCTCCCTCGGCGCTGGTGACTTCTCCTCCCCCTGCCGACATCCGCTCTCGAGTGGAGCCGAATGTGCATTTGCGGCCATAGGCGCGCGTGCGCATTCAAACCCGCTCATTGGAAAGCATTACCCAATGCTTTCCTATGGGGATCTAATTTGATGCTGGACTCCGTGAGGACGTCCAGCGTAATTTCAGTGCAATTTACTCACTGAGAATCGCGTAAGGGGCCTCTAGTGGCTGTTAGGGAGACCGCCACTAGAGGCTGGATTAACCCTGCAATGTAAAGCTAGCAGTTTCTCTAAAACAGTTTTCAGCTGTAGTGTTAAAACTAGGGAGAACTGGCACCCAGACCAATTCATTGAGCTGAAATGGACTGGGTACCTATAGTGGTCCTTTAAGCTAAAGTTTTTCTGCATTTAAGTTTTTATTATAAAGATGTTTGAAACCCTGATCCATGTAAATTGTTGAACCCTACATTCACTTGAAATTGCTCTATAATGTTTCTAGGAAAGTACAAAAATATGAACAAACGTTTTTGTTTTTTTTCCTCCTATTTTAAATACAAACATTAGTGTTGCTGTGAAATACATCCTTAAAAAGTTTATATAAGGTGTAACAATTAATTAAACATTGTGCCTACTGTCTTTCTATTATAGAAAGGAGCAGTTTGTTGTTGGTCCTTATTGTATAAAGGTTGCCGCAGCTCATAAATGCCGGAGTTGATTATTGCTAATGAGAAATTACTCCACCCACAGCAGTGAAATTCGAAAGGTTTTTACGAAGCAGCTTTATGATATTAACTAGATTACGTTCAACTTTGTGTCTTGTGTTCCACTTTTTCCATTTCTTTCTTTTTTCTTTTGGAAACTTTAATTTTAGATTTCCTGGAAGCAGATTGACCTCTGTCACTTCGTGGTAGTTTATAATATGTTACATTTCTCTAGAGATTTGCATCTGGTGTCCATCATTTGGCTTCAACGTAAACATGTTTAAACATAGAATTGTGGTGCTCTTCCTTGCTGTCCTATATATGTTTTATTTAATTATTACATGTTATCTTGAGAGCTCACTGTGAATGTGCCATAATCATATAAACTGTTAGTTATCCTAGCTAATGTTTAGTAATTCTATTACAATGCTCTTGCACGGAGAAATAGGTCTCACTGTTAGGGTTTCTAAATTCACCATGATTCTTATTTTTAATTGAAACACATGAAAATAACTGTTCTGCAGTATATATAATGTACATGCTACAATACGAAAAATAATTCAAGGAACACTTCAAGAATGTATGCATTGTAAAAGGCCTGGAAATTGCCAAGATTAAATCATGAGCTTCCAAGGAGGATGCAAAAACTGCCCTGCACTTTAGGACTTTCTCTGTGTCAGAGTCGGTACTTGTTTAGAAACACGGCAGGTGCCTTCTCTGCCCAGCTATGCAGGTATTCAATCTGGGTGGGTGGTATGGGAGGCGAAGGCGATATATACTTACTATGTTCTTCCAGCACAGTTCCCTTGTGCACCTTGTAGTGTGTTTGTAGCTGGCATGTATCTGCATCAGTGCAAAGTACGGATGGAAGTTGTACAAGAAGAGCACAGTGATCACAGTAGTCCCATTGGCCACCAGGAAGAAGATCTTCTCTAGCCTTCCCAGATCTATTGGTAGATCTCTGCAAAAAATAAATACAATTATGTGTTGGTGTGTTTAATAATATAGCTCCCTAATTTGATCTCCTTTATATATGGAAACCCTAAATAAGGATACCAAGTGTTGTGTTGTTTTTTTATTTTTTGGGGGGCGGGGGGGGAGGTTGATGAAGGCGGTCCTTCATCCATTTACAGACAAGCTGAAATAGGCTGCTAACCTCTGCTTTAGAGCAAAGCAGGATTGCAATCATTGTCTGCAGTGGCACATACTTTTAACAATAATTGCATAAATTGTAGGATACTCACGGGTCTTGTAAGAAGAGTGTAAGCATGCATTTGTCCAACATGGTAAAAAGCAATCTCGATGTTTCAGAAAAAATAATATATATATACTAATAGATTCTTAAACTGACACTGTAGGCACCCATACCACTTTAGCTCATTGAGGTGGTCTGGGTGCATTGTCCCTTAACCCTATAATTATTGCGGTTTCTGAGAAAATTACTTCTGAGTCTTAACTCCTCCTCTAGGGGCTGTCTACAAGACAGCCACTGAGGGTCTTCCAGAATCGAAACTGACCTTTGGTCCGTTATCTGACGCTGGGCGTCCTCACGTAGTGGTAGTGCCTGCTAGGGGAAGCGTATTTCTCCGCTACCCACCTCTCAATAAAACTGCTGGTTTAAAAAAATAAATACATTTCCACCCTCTTCTTTCCTGTCTCCCTCCTCTTGTTCAGATTCAGTATATTTGTTCTGAACTGGTAAAACGGTCTAGTCACATGATTGGCCCAGGCTGACATTCAGGAACGGGCATGATGCTAGATTCCAGGGGCACCCAATTAATAATACCCAATAACCCAATGGGGCAGTATACATGGGGAAATAACCCCACACCCTTTAAAAAAAAAAAAATATAAAAAATAAGGGTTGGAGTAACTTTTTTTAATAGTGGTGGGGTTGTAAAGACCAAACCAAAAATACAGATTAAGGGACAGCATACACCGTTTTTGAATCGGACGAGTTTAATAAATCTGGTGAGTTGGTCACACCATACCATTTTTAAGCCCACTACTCCTTCAAAGTAGCCAAAATGTATTTGTTTTATTCTGTTTTGCATATAATTTTGTTTACTTTTTTTTTTAGACTTGCTCATTGCTTGCTGTTTTTATTACTGCGTAAAGTGAGGCCTAATCATGCAGTTGTTTTGCTAGCAGTGACTCCCTTGCTATGACAGCCTCTGGAGTGTTAATTAACCAGCTTTGCTGTTGAAAAAATAAACTGCCCTTTCCTTAAAAAGCAAACATTTCAATCTGTGTCTTATGTTTTGATTTTTTAGATGGATTTGCTGATGTAAAGAAAAGTGACTTGGATCTCTCCTGGCTGCTTACTAGACTACACTGTTGAGGTATTTTTTAAAATGATAAACATTTTTGTTTTTGATTCTCATAATAGTAGTTGCATGACTGAGAATCATCTGATCTGCAGTTACAGATGGCGAGTGATGTGTTGGGTTACTCCTGGTCAGCAAGAGAAAGCCACAGTTGTAACTTCCTAGTTTTTGTTTTGGGGTTTTTATGTCTTGAAATATGTTTTCCAATTTCTAAAGTCCCATATCATTGGCACACTGAAGGGATTCTGCAAATGTTTATTGGATCTTGGTAGGAAGCTGTCAAAATGTGCTGTCTACTTGGCTTACATATACAATTCCTTAAAGGCACATTCCAAGTACTAAAACTGCTTCAGCCCAGTTCTGCACCCTCCCAGAGTAAGTTGTCCAAAGTGTTGAACAATTTGAAAACCTAGCACCTGCTGCCTGCTCCCCTACAACTGGAAACTCTGCCATTAAGCTAAGCATTGTCATTCAGGGTTGCACTCGTTGTCTTTCACCAATTGGCAAGCCCTGTCTGGCAGGACTTAATTCACTGCAGCTAATGGAAGCTCTTTGCAGGTGAATTGTAAAACTCCTTGCGGGTAAGTTGTAAAACTGTTCTTAAATGGTAAATTACTTATTCTAAGAGGGTTCCAGACAGAACCTGTAGGGCAGCAGACTGTAGGGCATGTTGCGCTTATGAGTATTCAGTTAAAATTTATATACAACCTTACTTTTAAAACTTCGTGCATGAGAAAGAAATATGTTCGAGGAAATATTCATCAAGAACAGCTAAAGTGCTTGAGTATGTAGGTTTAAATGGGGGAACCAAGTATTACATAGTGACTCTTACAGAAATGCGACCATGTCTTAAAGGACCACTCTAGGCACCCAGACCACTTCAGCTTAATGAAGTGGTCTGGGTGCCAGGTCCCTCTAGGGATAACCCATTCTTTCATAAACATAGCAGTTTCAGAGAAACTGCTATGTTTGTGAATGGGTTAACCTTTTCCCCCTAATCCTCTAGTGGCGGTCTCATTGACGGCCACTAGAGGCGCTTGCGTGCTTCTCACTGTGATTTTCACAGTGAGAGCACGCCAGCGTCCATAGGAAAGCATTATGAATGCTTTCCTATGTGACCGGCTGGATGCGCGCGCAGCTCTTGCGGCGCGCGGCCCGACGGAGGAGAGAAGGAGGATCAGAGGAGGAGAGCTACCCGCCCAGCGCTGGAAAAAGGTAAGTTTAACCCCTTTTCCCCTTTCCAGAGCCGGGCGGGAGGGGGTCCCTGAGGGTGGGGGCACCCTCAGGGCACTATAGTGCCAGGAAAACGAGTATGTTTTCCTGGCACTATAGTGGTCCTTTAATAAAGGATATTTTTCAATTTTGTTTGGATGCATTGATGCTTTCGAAAAAAACGCTTATTCCTTTACCATTAGTGAATTATGTCATGTCATGTTAAAATTCCAGGATTTCATGCTTAATGACTAAAACCCATAAAATTCAACACAATTAACGCCTGTTAACATTTGGTGTGGTTAAATGTCGATGTATGATGTGATTGTAAGCACTTAAAGGAACACTATAGGGTCAGGATTACAATTGTGCATTCATGACCCCATAATGTTACAAAAAGAGATGTTAGGTGTCCAGGCCCCCCTTAAATATGGTTAATAGTTACCTTTTATTTAAGTGTTGTGCAGGTGCACGGCCTCACCCTCGCTCCACCTCCTTTGCCAGGCCGTATCTTTTCATAGAGATGCATTGAATCAATACATTTCTATGGGAAGCGTTCGGCATCTCCATGCAGAGCGCATGAGTGACTGCCACTAGAGGTGTTCCTAGGCTGTAAATGTAAACACTGCATAGAGTCCCTTTAAGGGTGTGTGATAGTCAAGATTAGGCAGTTAAAACAAACAGATCTCATTCCAAATTTGTGTGTGTTTTTCTAACACTACAGAGCTACCAAATTTGTAATCGGACAGCAATGTTCTAAATCCACATTAAAGGAACACTATAGTCACCAGAACTAATTCTTATTGTATTTGTTCTGCTGAGTATAATCATTCCCTTCAGGTATTTTGCAGTAAACACTGTCTTTTCAGAGAAAATGCAGTGTTTACATTACAGCCTAGGGATAACTCCACTGGCCACTCCTCAGATGGCTACTAGATGTGCTTCCAGTGCAGCACTCCCTTTCAGTGTCTCCATCATAGAGATGTATTGATTCAATGTATCTCTACGAGGAGATGCTGATTGGCCAGGGCTGTGTTTGACTTGTGCTGGCTCTGCCCCTGATCTGCCTCCTTCAGTCAGCCAATCCTTTGGGGAAGCATTGTGATTGGCTCAGACCACCATTTCTGATTATGACAGCAGGCAGGTCAGAGGCAGAGCCAGCAGCTACAGTCTTGAATGCAGGTAAGATTTTACTATATTTAGAGAGGCAAGAGAGGACCAGAGGCGGATAGATGGTGGTCTTAACACCATAGGTCAGGAATACAGGTTTGTGTTCCCGACCCTATAGTGTTCCTTTAAGCCTTCCCTCATATCCAACTGGCTTTCCACACGGTTTCCCTCTCTCTCACTTCCAACCTCAATCTGCAAGCTTGCATGAGCAGGGCCTTAATCACCATTGCACCAGTATTTATTTATATGCCAAATTTTATGTAATATTTCTTCTGTCTTCTAGCTGACTTGTAATCCTGTTAGGTTGTATTATACATCATGGTGGAACTTGCTGGTGTTTTTAAAATAATGTACGTTAATGAACTAGAAGAGTGAATTCTCACATTCTGCTGACTCAGAGCACCTCCTGATGTTGAACGTTGTATAGGGTTACTCCTACAGCCAACTGTATTGGTTATAAGGCTGGGAGTACCATGGGGCTGTTACTTGATAAGAGGTAAACGGCTTTACAACGGTTTTTATTGTACTTGGGACCCACCAGGGCGCCAAGTCTCCCCTATTGGCTGAACTTCTACGATCCCTGTGTTGACGTGATCATTTTCTATTTTTAGCATTATCTAAATGAGCAGGCAAGCGACCTTTAGTTTGGTAAAAGCTGTTTCTGGTGGAGGATCATTGAGGCAGTACTTGGGGAGAACATGATGGTCAAACACAAATTGCACATTAATTTGTATACTTATTTATTTATTACTGGTATTTATAAAGCGCCAACAGATTTGGCAGTTTTTTTTTTTTTTTCTTCTTAAACTATTTATATAGACTCCACTAAATATAAACGGTTATTAAAAAATATATTTTTCATTCCAGAGAGAGTGGTATGTAGTTCACGCTTACAAATGTAGAAACTGTGGACATGAAAGGGAGTTTAATGTAATGTATTCTTACAGATTTATATATGCAAGTAACATTACAAGCATGTTCTATGTTATATAAGCTGATGTACAGTGGAGTGGAAGTCTCTGCTCTTGAGTGCTTACAGTCTAAGTAAGAGGGTGTCTTATCTTTGTCCTTCAAGTGGTTTTGACTGCATTTCATTTAATTCTCTTCCAGTAAGCAGTTGGCAGAGAATTATAGGAGTTATTGTCCAACAACCACTCTAGAGCTAATATTCCGAAGCCCTATGTCTACTGGGTTGATAAGAAACATTGGTGGTGAGACTGCACTCTAGGAGAGATACAATGACTAAGATGGCAGCAAGGTGAAGGTTTTCATAAATGTGTATGGTTATTTGTTATGCTTCTCAGCACAGGTCGAGAGCGCTTTAAAAACCATGCAATGTGGGTGAGCATGTGAAAAAGCAAGATAAGAAATTCAACCACACACGATAAAATACCCCAAAAATATTGTAGGGCAAAGAAATTTAAGCAGAACACGGGGGAAATTCCCCAAAATTCTGAACGTTTCGATTTTTAGTTAATATTGTATTCCCAGCTGTCCTGGCACAGTCAGAGCATACAATGTCACTTTGTTTAACTTCACAATGTTGAGCATGCTAGCTCCTTGATGTATGATAGTTGTAAGGAAATGCCAGAGCAAATATGTGCTCGAAGAAAAATGTGTTTACTAGATGCTGAAGTGCAACTGGAACCCTGAGAGTGCTGAGGAGCTATGTTTATTTTATACTCATCCCCTGCATTTTACTAGTTTACTGGGTTAAGGCATTTAGGAAGTGTTCAAACTCCATCCTGATGTGCCTCTTTATACCACACTCTGCTCACTAATGTTGCTTCTTATTTATAAATTGTATACATACAATCTAAAGTTAGCATTTAAACTGTACAACCCCAGTGCACTGCTGTATTATTATTAATGCTCGAACTGTTCATCTCACACTAGTACTAGTTAGTGCCTCTGAAGGGAAACCAAATTCTCACAACTGCTTTGTAAATGAAAGATTTTTTTATTTTTTTTGTAGCACTTTAAATTCTCTGAGATTAGCTACAGTTTTGTGAAATGCAGGTGTATAAAATAGTGTGAGTGAGGACATTTTTTTTTTTTTTTTAGTTTGCTATGCACCTGCTTTTTGAATTTAGTAACGTTGTCTGAGTTGTGGCAAATGGGGGAGTTTCTGTGGTTAGGAATAAATTTGAGTTTCTTTCTTCTTTTAACGTAGAATAGAACATCAACGCTGCTTGTTACAATTGCTGGTTTGTATTTATGAGTAAGATTATTTATATAGAGATATATATATATATATATATATATATATATATATATCTGACAATTTGTATACCCTTTGTCAATCCGTTAAAACAGAAACCCAATAGGTCCATGTGTTATATTTTAGCAACCATTGCTGTTGAGCTAAATCAGCAAAGCAAAGGAAGTGTGTGCAAATCGCATTCTCCTGTAGATTTCCAAGTCCTTGTCAGAGGTTATATCAGCATTATGCAACCATTTAGCTTATTGTAGTGTAACCAGAGACCGTTAAATGTAAACACCTAGAAGTAAAAAAAAAAAAAATGCAGTATTACAGGAAAGTTAGTTGTTTGTAATCTGAAATATGCAACCTCTTGGAGACAGTCATAAAAAGCGGTGCTTCAAACTATTTTGGTGTAGTGGTATTCGAAAGTACATATTTATATGGGGTTCTTTCATTTAGCCAGATAGTTTACCACCATTACTTGTAATCATATATTCCGAATAAGCCTCCAGCAATCTTTTTTTTTATTATTATTATTAAAAAATAAATGTATACTTCATTGCCTTGAGCATCTTCTTATTTACAGTATGTCAGAATTGTGGTAGTTTTTTCTCATTTAAAATGAAACACTTTGTAAAGAAAACTATTTAAAAAAAATAGACACATAAACCAATCAAGTTTATTAGTGCAGGGCCCTTGTCCCCTCAAAGAAATGCTATAGCGTCAGGAATGCAAAAATGTTATCCTTACACTACAGTGTTTAACTATTTAGGTCCCCAGCCTTCCTTTCATCTCATTGGAAAAGTGGTTTAACTCACCTTTTCTCTCATGCCGTGCCGGTCTTGCCATGGCTGGCAATATAAACACTGCCTTTTCTCTGAAAAGGGGGCGTTTGCGGTGCTCAGCCTGCATGGACAGGTTATAGTGACCTGAACTGCCACATTAAGCTGTAGCATAGTGTCTCTTTAACCCCGTAAGGACCAAACTTCTGGAATAAAAGGGAATCATGACATGTCACACATTTTATGTGTCCTTAAGGGGTTAACACTGAGAAACTGCATTGTGTACATTGCAGGGTTAAGCCCACCTCTACTGGTTTCTTCCAGACATCCACTGGAATTGCTTTGTAGAGTCTAACAGAATTTAATTCTGTGATAGACGTTGGATGTCCTCACGCTTTGCATGAAGACTTCTGTCTGCAAATTCCCCATAGGAAAGCATTGATTCAGTGATTTCCTATAGGGAAGCTTTAATGTTCGCACAGGCACATTAGGTCTCTTCATTGTTGTGACTTTGCTGAGTAGACTTCGTGCCAAGGGTGCATCAGCACTGGAAAGATGTAAGTGTGTAAAAGTTTTTAACCCTTTAATGCTCCCACCTATCTATTCTCCCTAATACACAAGTATGTCCCGTCTAGGCCCTTGCGCTTTGCTGAAGACTTAAATCTATCTTCTGTACGTACTCCCACCTCTGATGCTCGTCTTCAAGACATCTCGAGGGCTGCACCGTTCCTGTGGAACTCCCTTCCCTCCTCCGTTAGATGCTCTCCCAGTCTCTACTCCATCAAAAAAAAATCATTAAAAACCCACGTCTTCATAAAAGCATATAAATTAAACTAATAGCTCCCGACTGATTCCTATCTTGCAACTGCCATTAGTCTAATACTATTATTGTAAGCTCATTGAGCAAGGTCCTCAGCCCCTCTGTTCCTGTGTGTCCAATTTGTCTGGTTACAACTACATGTTTGTTCGTCCACCCACTGGTAAAGCGCTGCGGAATGTGTTGGTGCTATATAAATAACATAATAATAGGAATGCACAACAACTTTTCTGCAACAACTTATATGCTCATAAAAGTGCTGTACTGGTATTTATGGGATAAAGTCAGCACTGCAACTTCAAATTTTTGTGTGTTTTTTTTCTTTTGTGCACTTCACCAACATGCAAAATCTCTATACAAAGGAAGAAAAGTTATTGTGCATCAAATGCCACGTGTCCTTTCTGATGACATATACAATGTTTGTTTTAATAATCAATCTATTCTTAACGGAGATGGTTACTAGACCTTTCTCTCCTTTCATCGTGGGGTGATTATTGCAAATTGTTTTCACTTATTAAAATGTTTAATTCCACAAATTCAACATGGTACAGTTAGTCAGCAAAACCACAGTTTCCTGAAGAGGAAATGTCAAAGTATTGTTTGGTTCTCTCCACCCCTATATGAAAATAGCCATTTTTTTTTTTTTTCCTGATCCCAATTTGCTGTACAAAGGAATAGTAACCAGCCATGTCATATACTGGTCTTTAAAAAAATTAAAACTCAAATGCCATATCCTTTCCTATATTGCCATCATACAGGTCACACAACAAACTAGCATTGAATATCCTCCAAGGTACCTTGCTTGTAGTTGACAACACACATGCATAATATGCAGAAAGCGTGTTTAAAGGGTTACAACCTTGACAAGGGTTTTTGGGGTTTATTTTTGAGTGCTGCTATTAAACTATTGCTTAAGTTTGTTCCACTTAACTGTGTGATCACTCTTCAGAACAGCTAGCATTTGTTTTATGCTTAAATTCTGCAGAAAGTTTGAATGAATATTACAAAAATGGTACTAAATGGGAACTCTGGATTCCGTGTGAGGAGAGTGATTTGTTTTTTTCATTTTTTTCAGTTTAATCTATTTACTATGCTAGTTCTAAGTTCAGAAATAGCACTGTTTACTTGACTGTTTCTAAATTGTAAATGTGTGTTAAGCAGGGTCTTCCTTTACACATTCTTGTATGCCATATTTCATAACAATTATTTGTGCCTTGTCAGCCATTTATATTTGTTTGACTGACAGAAAAACTGCTACTAATAATCAAATGGAATTTTGTGTGATTTCTGCTCATATGAAGCCTGTCATGATACTTCCTGGAACGAGAAGGCTGATATGTTTATGAACTCCCTCCTAGTCCTCCATTGTCTTCATTTCTTCAGCTCCAATTAGAAGAAGCTATTGGGAGCTGCATTATCTTGCTACTCTCTCATGCATGTGTGGGAGTACAAAGCGTGTTCTAAGAAATATCTCACAACATATGTATATTCCCTGCGTAGTAACATTTCAAGTGTCCTTTAATCTTGCACAGTCTGGGCACCAGCACAACTTAAGTGCAATAGATAGGTTTGGGCTTACTATTTCTGATTTCCTTTTCTCCGTACGCCTGGACTACAAACCTATCAAATTAATCCAAGTAACTAGCGAGATAATAACAGGAGAGATAACAGACAGAAGGGAGCACACAGGTGTGTAATGGTTCTTGCAGGCATCAAACGGTAAAGGCTGCAAAAGGGACTGGAATGCGTCCATTGTGGCAAGGGAGGGATTTCGGTAGGTTCCGCTGGATCGTCCCTGTGTCTGGGTTCCCTTTCAGCCTATACCCAGCAGAGGGAGAGGCGTTGAAGTCCATGGGTCTGCTTCTGGGTACAGCCATCGGCTCGATATCTGTGGTGGGAGCTTCTTGTGTGGTCTCCCCGTCTGCCCCAGCTCTCAGCGTACTCCCGAGCACTTGAGCTGTCAGCCTCATTGTGAGTTGCCGCCGGAGCTTGAGGTCCACCAGTATGTTGCTTTCTCTTGCTTGGAGTGGTGTTCCCCTGGAGGGAGTGGGGTAACGCTTTGATGGGGTAGCCCCATTTGAGCGTGGTGTGGCACAGCGTTGGTCTGGGCCTGTGGCGTATAGGCTTTTGCCGGGTTTGTTCGCCTTCTCCCTCCCGCCTTCCAGGCCGCATCATTGCCGTGTTCAGGAGCTGTGTGCTGCTGTGTAGCTACACGTGGGGTTATAGTTGGTGGGGCCACTTCATCAGCGTCCTCATTAAGGTTAAGTTTGGCCCAGAAGGCAGCGAATAAACGGTCCAGCCTCTCCTCCAGAGAGGGTAGCGGAGAGGCAGGCACTGGGTCACACGTGGCACCTGCCATGATACCCCCCTCTGTTCCGGCTGTGCAGGTATGTCCCTGCTGGGGGTCTGTTGCTGGGTTACAGGCTTTAGATGCCGGGATATCCCTCACCGGCAAAGGGGGAGAGAGGGGGAGTGTGTCGGGGGACCTTCAGGCTAGTGAGCTCCAGCCAGCGGAGGGATCGTCCGCCTCCCCCACGCCGTCTGAGTAGGCCTCCTGTAGTCCTCAGGTCTGACCCCGGGATGGATCTGCCAGTGTCTGTGGAGGGAACTCTCGCTTGCTGTCTCCTTCTCCGGGTCTTATGAACCGGTAAGATTTGACGTTTTTGCAGTAAATGTGGCGGAATTTGAGTATGTTAGCACAGAGCTCTCACGAATGAAGCCAAGCTCTGCCCCCCCATTTTACACACTTAACATACCTACACAAACACACACACTCTGCATACATTATATACACACACTACACAAACACTCACGGCACAAATACACGCACAAACACACTGCATTCATTATATACACACTACATTTACTATACTTACTACTCAAACACACACTGCATCCACTACACACACACACACTGCATCTACTACACACACATATTCTGGAAAACAAAAATTTCTGACTGGCATGTATATTTTGTGCATTTACTTAATAAAAAAAAAAAAATTTGCAAAAAATAAACATGTTCAGTTAACAGTAGATTTGTGTAGAAATAGTATCATTTATTTTTTTTTAAATGGTAAATGTACAGACTATCGGTATCTGTAAGTTATCGGCTATCTGCCGGAAAGGCCACAGATTATCGGTATCTGCTCTAAAAAAAAAAAATCAAAATCGGACAATGACCAATATACAGACATGATTGTGCTGCAATGGCTCCTTCACAAAAAGCTATGAAGGAATTTCTGAGCGGTCACTGGGAAGCATATTTGACAAATATTGTCTCTGTATGACTCCTTCAACAATTTTTGAGGTGTACGCACACATTTTTCATTAAAAGGAAAGATCACTCCCTAGGGCTTTTCATATTGTTTACTTATATCTGTATTTAACAAATGTTATTTGTGAGGTTTGAAATGTGAAATCCTATATTTAATTGTATATCTATTTTTCCTGCAACTGGGCGCCTTCATCTAGTTTATTGTCAATGATTGATATAAGTTCTGTCCTTTGGACCTGTTAGTCAGCAAATACAAAGCATACATAGAAGAGAAGAACTGAAACCATGTTTCTATTTCTCACCATTTCCAATGTTTGTCTCCTGTATTGTGATGCAATTTTCTCAATCATATTTCAAAGGGACAATATAGTCATGTAGTTGTTCTGGTGTGTAATAGTATGTTTCCGCAGGCTTTTCAATGTCCACACTGTCTGTTTTCAGAGAAAAGGCAGTGTTTACATTGCTCCTTAGGGACACCTACAGTGACAGTCCCTCAGACGGCCACTAGAGGTGGTCCTGGGTGCAGCACTAACGTTCTGCGTCTTTACTCTCTGCATGAACTTTCCCCGTAGAGATGCATTGATTCAATCCATTTCTATGAGGAGATGCTGATTGGTGCAGAGCAGCATTTTTGCTGCACATGCGCAATAGCCTCCCAATGTTTTCCTATGTAGCAGAGCCAGTAGCGACAGGATTTGCCCGGCGCTGGAAAAAGTTGAGTAAAACACCCTTCTAACCTGAAGTAAAAAGGGCTGGGAGTGCTAAACTGCTATTTAGACCTATAGTTTCAGGACTACACTATTTAAAGGGACTCTATAGTATTAGGAATACAATTTGAAACTCCCTGAAATATAGGTAAAATCGAGTAGGTGATTTTCAATGGTGTTCATTTCAGTGAAGTGGCAGTTCCCCTTTAAATGAGTTTTATGTTGTCATTGATGTTGGTCACCTTCCCAGGATAACACATTTGCAAATAATGCAGCTTCAATACAGCTATACCTTTGTGTTTACTTTTATTGCAAAAAGCTGATGGAAAACCTACATATATCTCACTTATCACATAATTGTATTGTATAAGGCTATGCTTCTTCACTCAAACTAGCTGCGTCTTCTTATTTTATTATTTTACTAGAAATGTGCCTTTGCTCATTAATTGTTTTAGAAATGCTAATTATACTAATACAGGCTTGTAAACAGCAGTAGTAATATAAGTGAGTGATGCCCACTGCAGTTTGCTTGATGCACGTTTTTTTTTTCTTTCATTTCTTCTGTACCTCGAACAAGAGCTAGAGTGCAGTATTCACACGCTTTTGACCACTGACCGTACTTTTCTTTGATCAAAATCCTTTACTTTATTTTTCCAGGTTTAATCCTACTATATTTTTTGACTTTAGGATAGGGGATTGTATACATCTATATTTAATGCAGACCTGTACCTGACAAGTTATTCAGGGTCATGCCCTTTGCATGACTGATGCCTTTAATAGTTTTATAGATTTTTTTTATTTTTTTTCTGTTTACTGCATTATTTCTCACATGTAAGCTGTTTAGTCATAGTACCTATCATTTAATCAATATTAGAAATTAGAATAGCATTTAAACATTTAGACATTTAATGCACTTCATTTAGCTATATAGTTATATTCATGACGGTTTATAAAAGTGCTAATTCCAATAGAAATCCAGCACTTCTATAATACTTCACTTTACAGAGCCAATGGAAGTGGCCAGCACCTTAAACTAGTGTTCCCACCTTACTGCACCTCATTGCTATAGCTCATTGAAAAGCTTAGTGTGCTTAAAGGAGAACTATAGGGTCAGGAACACAAACCTGTATTCCTGACCCTATAGTGTTAAAACCACCATCTAGCCCCCATGATCCCCTCATGCCTTCCTAAATATAGTAAAATCTTACTTGTATTCAAGTCTGGAGCTGCTTGCTTTTTCACTGTTTCCTTTTGACCTTACCTCTGCCTGCTGACATCATCAGAAGTGGTGGCCTGATCCAATCACAGTGCTTCTCCATAGGATTGGATGAGACTGACAAAGAGGCAGATCAGGGGCAGAGCCAGCACAATTCAAACACAGCCCTGGCCAATGAGCATCTCCTCATAGAGATTAATTGTATCACTGAATCTCTATGAGGAAAGTTCAGTGTCTGCATGCAGAGGGATGACACACTGAATGTTTGGATGCATTTTAGGCAGCCATGACCAATGAAAAATCTCTAACAGCCATCTGAGGAGTGGGCAGTGAAGTTATCAATAGGCTGTAATGTAAACACTGCTTCTTATCTGAAAAGACAGTGTTTACAGCAAAAATGCTGAAGGTAATGATTCTTCTTACCAGAACAAACTCATTAAGCTGTAGTTGTTCTGATGGCAATAGTGTCCCTTTAAGTACTTCCAGGCAACCAACTACCAGCTTTGTTAGTCTGGAGACTGACCTGCTATGTTTCAAATGTTATCTTGTACTTTGCAGACTTTGATTTCCTTAGCATAGTTGGATTTGTGATGGTCAACATTTTTTTTTTTAATTCCATGTAGGATTGAAATGTGATCCCATATACACCGTGAACATGGTTTAAAATGTGAAGTCCTATGCTACTAACCAGACTTTAAAAGTTGCTAGCCACTACAAATCATAGCATACCCATAGGGGATGAATAGCTACTTACCAGGGCTAAGGTTTTACTTGCCAACGGCTAGTGGTGAGTGGACCATTTGAGCAATGTTTCAAAAACATATTATTCAAAATTGGTAATTTTTTGATCGAGCAGTGATATAATAATCTCCTTAGTGTTATGTTCCATTTTAGTACAAGTAAGCATCTGTTTAGATCATGTGTAGTTATTTCTTAGCTAATACTTTTGAATTATTCTAGTTATCTGGTGGCCGTGGATCTTATGTGAAAGCATAAGTCCCCTCTGTCGTTATGTACAGCAGTAAACCACCACCCCACTTCCTGTGGGTGTTGATTCTGGTACTGTTTGCTGACTTCCATCAGAAACCGGAAGCACAACTACTCCTGCATTTCGCAGCAAACAATGGTTTAAAAAATAAAATAAAAAGAGAACTTTTGCCATTATGCCAGGAAATCAAAGGGAACTCCACAGAAATCCCAAGGGAGAAGTGTTGTCAAATACAGTAAACTAATATTTGCAGATGCCTTTTATTTTAATGTAATTTTTTTTTTTGCATTTAATGAATGAGGTGGTGAGGAGATAGAAAAAGTAAATGATCTCATCCAGCCTCCTCTCACTAAACTGCATAATGATGGCATTTACCATAGTACACAATTAACTTTTTATGTGTTTGTTTATTTATTTTTTTTTATATATTTTGGGATGTATCTTATTTCCTTCTCTTTCTAAAGTTAGGGCTAAGTTTACATATCTTTTACCCTTAGAGCAGCATAAGGGAAATCATTTTAAATTTGAATACATTTAATTGTGTTTCGTGACTTAGTGAGAATTCCAATTAAAATTTCAACATTTTGGGGAAATAGCCAAATTAGAAACAAAATTTTCAAATCATATGTTTTCAGCTTGGCAGTTTTGCTCTTAAGTTTTAAATTCACTTTGAATTGCTAGGAATACTTAAGTAAATATCCATGCCAGGTTATTTTTGGCCCTTTATAGTAATGCTGGATAAACCAGGTGACTCTGGGATGTGTCTGCTGTAAAATTCAACCTTTTTGTTTGTCTCTGTTCTGTTCTGGTTTTTTTTCTTTTATATATATATATATATTTATAATTTATATATATATATATATATATATATAATTTATATATATATATATATATATTAACTACGCAGTGTTTATTTTATATTTGGGCAGAGGATTGTCCATTTAAGCGATGGGGCCTTTTCTTTAACTTGTTTATTTTTTGTTAAATGTTAATGGAGCGTTTCACAATTGATGTTCCTCGGAACCCTGGTGTTATGTGAGAAGAAAACTGGGGTTCTGCCGCTTCTTGCCCGTCATGTGACCCATGCCACCTGATCAGACACCGTGACCCATTAAGAGCTCGACCTTGCCCTATAGTATCGGATCCTGTGAGGAAGATCACTTCCTCCACTTTTCTTTTTGTTGTTCTGTCTCTCACTGTTAAAATACACCTACCATTAAAATTATAGACTGATCATTTCTTTGTCAGAGGGCAAATGTTCAAAATCAGCAGGGGATCAAGTACTTTTTTTTTTTTTTTTCACTGTATCTGTAGAAATTAGTGTGTGTGTGTGTGTTTGTGTTTGTGTGTGTGTGTGTGTGTATAAATATATGAAATTTGCTAAAAAAAACCAAAAACATTACATTCTGATAACTAAGAAATTTGCCCTACAGTGCAATTTTTTTTTTTTGAGGGGGTTCCAGGATGTTGGTACACTTCCATTGGCTCTCCTAATTGGCCAGCTGATTGCTCTTTGCCAAGAATCGAAGTCCTAGACCACCAGGTTTGGCTCAGACTCCAGGTAAAAAGGCAACCCGTTGTAAAAAATGCTTTACTACTTGCATTGAGGGGCTCTTCAGAGCATAACAGTGGCAGGTTGGTGGCAAGGTTTGACATGCCTGTTCTAGATTTGGTTTCAAGTGTAACTCTTATTAAAAAAAACGAAGTACAAACTTAACATCATCTTTTGTTTTGTCTCATAGCATCAACACTTTTAGAAGATGACGACGGAAGAGGTGGTCGTTGTTGCAAAGTTTGATTACGTTGCACAGCAAGATCAGGAGTTGGATATCAAAAAAAATGAAAGGCTTTGGCTCCTAGACGATTCAAAATCTTGGTGGCGTGTTCGCAATTCTGTGAACAAAACTGGATTTGTACCATCTAACTATGTTGAAAGAAAGAACAGTGCCCGTAAAGCATCAATTGTAAAAAATCTAAAGGACACATTGGGTAAGTCCAAACTTGTAGTGATCTATTTGCAGGGTACAGAAAAAATGGACCAGCGATGTATAGATCAGTGAAAAATGGTTTGTTGAAATATAATATACCTAATATGTACATTGATAAAAAAGCAAACCGAAGGATCAGCGCTGTACAACCAAATAGTAAAGAAAAAGCATCAGCAAACATAAAAGATGGGACTCCCTCAAAGACCCAACAGAAATAGAATAAGGCCGCAAATCAGGAAAAGGTTGCGCCAATTGTGAGCAAATAAGTTTAAAATATTAAGACACTAAAACAAATAAACAAAGAACACGTAGCAAATATAAAAGTCCAAAGTCAGTGTGTAAACTTTCATAGGTAGCAGCTAAATCCCATAGACACAGTCGCAGACAGTCAGTCACACACACACACACATACGCACACCCTTACAGGCAGACTGTGTCACACACACACTCTCACTTGGGCTGGAAGAAGAGTGGATTAGTTGAAGCTCCTGGAGTCTTAGTTGGGGAAACAGGGACTCCTATCTGCTTCCCCTAGATGTGCAGTGATAACTGCAGAGGGTGGAGGCCGTGTTTAGCTTCGCCACCACTGCCGATTTAGCCCTGCCCCCACTGTCCTTCCGTGCGCCCGATTTTGAAGTAATGCGGCTGCCCCTGCGTGTGTGAGCTGTGTCGGTTGCCAAGTGCCCCAGCTGCCATGGGGACCAGTGCGCCGCACAGCTCACACATCCCTAAGGCCAGCCCTGGTCGTGGCACCCGGGGCACACCCTCCACCCACCCCCTAGTACGTCACTGTTTGTGATTATATACCTCAAAGCACTATCACTTTAATTGTTTAGTTTGGACGCTGCATTATTTTTAATTACATTTATTATATTTATTTTGATATAATATAACATTATATATGTATGTGTGTGTGTGTGTGTGTATATATATATATATATATATATATATATATATATATATATATATATATATATATATATATATATATAATTATATTCACAGTGCTCTTACAACAGATTATCATAATACACTTATACTATTTAGCACGATTTAATTTGTCTCCCACGAATTCGTGTAGGACCAACTGATATTGGGGTAGTGGGCTTAACACAATATGGCTATATGGTGGAACTAAATCCCCATATTTGTTTGCTGAGAGAGGGTATTTTAAGTGGACTTATAAAAATAAATTTTTTAATTTTATGTGTACTGTAATTTACCGTAATCTGTATTATAATATTTTAAAAGGACAGTCCAGGTAGAAGTTGACTTTTTATGAATTTTAGAAATAATGCACGTAAGAAATATGGCTGTGTTTAATTTACAAAAGCAATGTCTTTCTGGTTTTGCCAAGTACGTTCATTACTACTTTTTAATAAACTAAACTATTTGAAGTTGAGCTTTGTATGGTCAGGGCACCCATTTATTTGTGCATTCACATACGCTGTTGAAAATCGATGTCTAAATATAGGTGCTCTATGCTGGCTGGATAAATTGTTTGGGAGAAAATAAATTTTTGATAATAAGGATATGTGAGATTGTTAGTGCGGCTCTGTCACCACAATATAATAGCTCAGATTTTCAACTGATATTTGCGTGCTTTGTTTCCTTTTTTTTATTGTAAAATAGCTTGTCTTGGTCTGGCGTGGAGTAATCTAGGTTTTGGTTTGTTTACACATTCAGTTCAGTTTTGTCACTAGAAACTTGTGCCAGGCTAATCTGCTTCACATCTTGGTCACTCGAGGCTATAGGTTTCTATTGTTAGCATTATTTACTTGTGTGCTTACTACGTCTCACTTTTATGAATGCAAGTTAAAGTTTCATAGGCTGTTACTTCAGTGGCACACCCTGTTCTCATACTTAATTGTGCACATTGATTAAGGTTTTTAAAGAAACACTTCATAGAACTGCTTCAGTGATGACTGCAGAAACCAAGAACTGGCTAAAGCATTTTAAAGTTTTATTTGTTGTTTTTTTTTTTTTGCCCACAAATATGCTTAAATATCATTTTAAGAAATCAGGATGACTTCACAAACTCAGGCTGAGGATAACTTTATAAGTTAAAAGAAATGTAAAAAAAAAATATCAAGGGTTCAGTGTTGTGGGTGGTAGTCAAAACTTTTTTTTTTTTTAATTTAAATTTTTGTATTTTAACATTTTACTGAAGTAGTATGTTTGTTTGTTTCTGTATGATATCCTAGACTTTATTTTTGCCATTTTGTGATGTTTTGTTGATATGTACACAAATCTCCCAATGCAAGGTAATTTGAATATTGCAGCATCTGGTTTTGCAGACCTGTTATAGATTATTCCTGGAGTGGTGAGAGCTTGCTTACTTATATTTACTAGGATTTACACCAAATTCTGAATCGTCATTGCAAATCTAAGCACTTTTAAAAAAAAATAAAGAATTATCATATGTTTTATAAATGTATTTCTACAATTCATTAAAATGGAGAGGTAGATGGGTGTCTTCTCCAGCCAAGAATAATGCATTCTACTCCAAATAGTAAAATTTTGATTAGTCATCTTCATTTTTTTTTTGCCTTATAGTCAGCTGGTCGCAGTTTTTACTTATTTCCACGAGCACAGTTTCAGTTGGATCCTTTTTTCCTTGTGTGTTGGCATGGTTAGGTTCTGTGATTTTCACTTAGTGGTTTATTTTATGGAAAAAGGAAGTGTATCTTATAATTTGGCCACAAACTAGTCTTAATATGAAAGTATATTTTTCCCCACTTTTGTTTTCTCAATGCTTTGTGGTTTTTTTTTTTTTTTTCTTTCTCTAATCTTATGACCAAATCATGCAAATCAGCTTCCATGTAACTAGGCCAACACGCCTGGGGTAGGAACTGTTCTTCTGCTAAACTGAGTAACTATGCACTATGACTGGAGGGCACCAGCCACTCATTCATTAAGCTTGCTGTTGGCATGTTTACACAAGCCAGTCTCATTCTGACATGGTGAGGTCAATTTCCTGTGACCTTGCTACTTCACTCTTCCACTGTTTTTATCAAGATCATTGAGAGCAGACCTTTAGGGGTTTCCTTTTAAAGCGACACTGTTGGTAACGTCTAGGGTGACTTTCTGGATTTATTGGGGTAATTGTGTGTCCTGCATATTAAAAGTGAATCTTACATCTCAATTTGTTTTTGCTTTAAGCGGTTATATGAAACTTACGATCTCTGAATAACTTCCTCTAGCTATTAGACATAAGTAAACAGCAGCATTCCATGAATATCATGTGACTACCTTTTACTTCACTGCACATAGTGTTTCATCAAGGCACTCAGTACTTATTATTGAACAGAAACCTGAACAAGTGTTGGCTTTGTTTTCATGGTGTGGTAAATTGAGTGCAGTGGGTGCATTCTTCTGATCACTGCTGCCTTAGCAACCTATGGCACACAAGGTGTGCACGCAAGACTGCCAGATGCAGAATAGAATGATCTTCCCTAAAGCTGGCCTGACAGAGGACCTCTTCAGGTATCTCCTAATGCCCGATTGCAATGGGCGATGAGGGGAAACCTTCAGTTCAGTTGTGACAGCACTTGGAGGAACTGATCTCCTATTACTTCCTTCTAGCGCTTGTGAAGGAAGCCACGAGGGAGGAGAGGAGCATGCTGAGGCACTTGCCTTGTCCTGTAACTAATCAAACCAATCCCCACTGGACCCTATGGAAGTTGCCCTCCTGCTGGTAACTCATAAGCAATCAAGAGGGTGACTAAAAATAACTGCACTGCCAGTGTATCCGTGTAGTAATGTGTGTTACAGTGTGTGTGTCTTGCAATTTGTATGGGCCTAGCAGTGCGATTGTGCACAAATGCATATATACAATCATACAAAGCAGCAGCACCCATGCATAACTCAAGCAGTATAAGGCAACATACACTGTTAATTAAAATTAAAAAATAGGACGTTTACAAGGGACTTCAAAACCTTGTTTTGGCACAGTGCTGCTAAGGGTTTCTGACCCATTTGGGGACACCGATACTATTTTCCCAAAGTATATGCAGATTATTGGTTGCCTTTTATAACCTGTATCAATATTCTGTACGTCGTAAATGTTTGGAAAAAGCAACACAATTTCTACACAAATTTGGCATTAATTGAGCATGCTGATAGCAATCATTTTCCTATCACTCAGTCATCCAGCCCGGTATATTACAGTAGATTAATGGTCGGAGGCAGCAGTTTCCAGATGCGTCTTCAACTGGTGTTGAAAAACTAGTGTGCAGTTTTACCAACACCAAATTGTCTTTTTTTTTTTTTTTTTCTCCCTCATTCCCCTCTAGTGGCTTTTAGCAGTTAAAGGGATCCTATAGTGCCAGGAAAACAAACCAGTTAAAACACCTTCAGCCACTTACCCGAATCCAGCGCTGCTGTCCCTCTGCACTGGGTCAGGCTCCGCCCATGCTCCTCCCCTGCCATTAGCCAGCGGGGGAGACCTAATGCGCAGGCGTGCGCATTAAACCTCCCCCTAGGAAAGCATTATTCAGTATTTTAATCTGTGCTAAATGAAGCGATCTGTCCAGGGTTTTCTTCTCGAATTTTAGTCTTTGAATGAGAATTCACAGGTGAATCCTGGATAAATCGATTAATTTGGGTGCAGATTAAAAGACATTTGATAAAAATGCATTTGTTTTAAATGCAAGTTGACATTTGGCTTCTGTCACATTTGATTCCACATGTTTCCACCGAAGATTACCATGGAGAAGAGACTTGTTTTTTGGGGAGTGTGTGGGTATGTTTTAGGAGAGAGAGCATAACTAGGAATTTCCCTACTTTAGATCGTGAAAGAACACAAATTGCAACATATTGGGTAAAGTCCCCCCCAACCAGATAAGTTAGAAAGACCCATAATGCAATGCTTCATCATGCTCCTCCCTTTCTTGCCCCTCTTCTATAATCCGATGTTCTGTCCTTGCCTCCCTGGAGGAAGGTAGCTTTATTGACACTGATTGAAGTATGAAGATTTATTTTTATTTTTACTCTATAGTCACCAGAACAACTACAGTTTAAGGAGTTGCTTTGGTGAGTATGGTCTATCCCTGCAGGCTTTTCAATGTAATCACTGCAAAGGCAGTGTTTTACGTTATTGCCCAGCGACACTTTCAATGGCTTTCAATTAGACGGCCACTACAGATGCTTACTGGGTCAGTGCTGCAGGTTCAGCATCTCCACCCTCTACATAGATGTACTGAATGTTCCTCATAGAGATGCTGATTGTCACAGTGCTGCGTTTTGCTTTGCGTGTGTGATTGCCTCCCAATGATTTCCTATTGAATTGGCTGAGATTGTTAATTCTGATAATCTTAGCCAAGGAGGCACGAGCCATCACCGACGGATATAAAAAGGTAAGTTTTTATATTTATTTAACTTGGCATTTTGGGACTGGTCACCTAACTTTTGGTCACCTAACTTTTCCTTAAGTTTGGAGAATAATATATCTTTCAGCATCCTCATGGATGGAGAACTAAATGGAAGAAATGGAGGGGTTTCTCATGCAGACTCCTCATTGGAGTCCGAAACTGGTGTTCATGTTGCTGCAATATGCTCCTTTTCAGCACATGTATTCATGGCAGATGTTATCAAGGAAGGTGTTTCTTCTGACAATTTCATCTGTCAGCTTATTCCTTTTGCTCACTTGCAAGCCCCCTCTATTGGTTCTATTTTTTTTTTTTTTTTATATTTTTTTTTATATAAGGATCACACAATCCTGGGGTCTAATTATTCTTTATTTTTCTTTTTTTTTTCTTTTTGCTGGATGTGGGTTCCTACAAATATTAACTAGAAAGTTGTTCCCTCATTTTGTCCATCACTTGCCAATGACAAGGAGATTCTTGTTGAATGTGGATGTTGTTTGAGCCCTCAAGTACTATGTTGTAACCTCTAGGCACTTTTAGGAAATGTTCTTCCTTGTTTGTTCATTTTTCATTTAGGTCAAAAGACTTCAGTCTCCAGACTTACAAATTGTCTCATCATATGAATATCTATACCCTTAATAACAAGCCTCTACTTGGTAGGGTCACTGTTTATTCCACTCGGGCAGTGGATACCTCATAGGCCTTTCACCATGAGGCTTCCCTGGGAAAAAAAATACAAGACCATCTTTTTTTTAATCTTTTTTTCTCATACGTATTCCAAATGTTAACATGTGGTTTTTTTTTTGGTTTTTTTTTTGCTTCTGCAGTTGGCTGTCTTCTGGGTGATTGTTGCTATTCAGTCACCATCACCTGCCCTACATTTTGTGGTGACCTCATGTCCTACTGTGCTTCGGTTTAAGGATGATCTTTCATTTTGATTTTCCATCTCCAAGCCTCCTTACTTGTTGCTTATGTAATAGAATAAGAAATAAAATAAATCTAACTTATATACACACACACTTAAATTGTCACTGGTGTGTTTCAATATGGAATGTGTTTTAAGCATTTGCAGTAGTTGTGTTGATATAGTTGTATTCATAAAAAAAAAAAAGCATTTTATTACAGCACAGTTATGGTGGTTTTTAAGGAACCCTACAGCATTGGGAAAACAAACCTGATTTCCTAATGCTATATTGTGCAGCTGACTTAATGGTCTCCCCCATAGTGAAGCATTGAGAGGTTACTGCGCATGCACAGAGAATCTCTTAACCAATCAGCATCGCCTCATAGAGATGCAATGAATCCGTGCTTCTCTGTGGGGAGTGTTCAGCGTCATGCTGAATGTAGGTTTGTAAAGATTGCAGGATCTCATCCAAGAATGCCCTATAATGGCTGTTCACATGATAGAAACTCTCTCTCTCTCTCTCTCTCTCTCTCGCTCTCTCAATTAAAATTAGTCTGACACTGAAACTTTTTCTCCTTTTCTGAAATGGTTAATCTTTACATGACGTATAAGCAGAGGAGTGTTGGAACCTCTTAAACGGCAGCAAATGTGTAATTTTAATCCACTAAAACTGAGTTGAGCTCTAGAAGGTTGTGTTTCACAGTGCTTGCTGCAAACTGAACTCCCATCACATCCAGCCAGCCACTGGTTGACCAGAATCAATAGTATTCTTCCTGCACCATTTCTACATTAAATTATTGTGATTAAGTATGAGGAACAATTGTATATAATGCATGGTTTTAGTCTCCAGTAACTGATGGGTTATGTCATGATTCCCTTTTATCCCAGAAGTTTGGTCCTTAAGGGGTTAATATAAAATATACTTTATCATTATACTTTAACATAGCCATACCCCCTAACCCCAGCTTGTAACTTGACCTTCCGTCTCAAACCAATTCCAGTACTTTCAAATGCTTTTAGTGCAAACCATCATTTCCTTAATTTGACTTTGAAGTTAACATTGTTAAGCTGCACAGTAACTTGCTGGTGTTTGATGGCATGCAAAGAGTTAAGAGATGAGAGGCCAGCCAGGTTTTGGTTGGAAGAGCCAGACCATGTGACTTTTCTCCAGCTCACCCCCTCCTCCTCTCCAGTGGCAGGAAGTAGTTAGAACTGGGATCAGAAAGGGAGATTACTCAGAAAGCCAAGCGCTCCTTGTGAAGACTAGAATGGATCTGCCTAATTTCTTCAAACACTGGTTCAGTAAGTCCAGACTCTCGATCCTCACTCTCTTATTTCACGTGTTGGAATTTGTTTTATTTTATTTTCATTTTATTTTTTCTTACCTATGACTGTGGGGGCAGGGTCGGTTTCCCTTCCCTTTGTTTGAGTGCTCTGCAAGATGTCAGATGCTTGGGGACCTGCTTCAATGCAGATTTGATTTCCAACAAAAGGAAAGAGTAGATTACTGGTGTGTTACAGACACACGCTTCTGTATTGGGGCAGAATCTAATGTTTTGTGACTTGTTGAAACCGTTAAAATAACAATAGTCTGAATTTCTCTCCAGTATTGAAACCTGCAATCTCTATTGTGTGGCTTATGCCACTAAACCTGGAAAAGCTATTCTCTTGTTATTTACTAGTATAATAATAGTACTTCCAATTCCAGTATATCAAATTCCAAGAACGGCTGTCTAATAAAGTACTGATTATAAGTATAAAAGCAGGTCTGTTGATATAAATATGTTCAAAATAGCCATTTGTCATTGTTTTTTTTTTTTCAAGGAAAATTAAGTTTTTATGGCTGTTTACTGTCCCACATGTCCCTGTGCATACTTGTCATTTTGTCATTAATAATGTGTACACAACTGAAATGTGTGTTTGTGTAGATCTATTTAGAGGGGGTAAATAATGGTGACGTGTATATTGTGGGAATATAATTGTGGGGGATAGGCAGAAATCCTTACCCAAGACAGAAGACCTTGTTTATGGAAGTATCCAGAACCGTGTGATGTCATTATATTGTGCTATTATGCATTCCTTGTTGGCTTTGTTTCACAGCTATTGGAGATTTTCTGTATCCTGCCATTAGGGCTGTTGTGGAATTGAACATAATTTATTATGTTATGTAATTAAGTTATGCAGTAGCTCAGCAAATGGTTATTAACATGAAATAGAGGCACTAATAAAAGCATAATAGAGAAGCGTGTTAATGGTTAAAAAGGAAGAAAAGGGATTTTTTTTTATTTTCTTTTCATTAAATCAGCCGTGCCTTTGGATTGCTAGGAATGTTAGAACCGGGCTAGTTGTCTGTGATCATTGGCTGCCTTTTTAAAGCAGTATAGTCATCTGCTAGCGAGGCATAGCATTTGTGGCTTTAGTGGACGGTGGCAGAAAATGTATTAGCCAAGTCCTCCCAATACTTTACCCCCTTTGCAAAGACGTAACCCTCACATCATTTTGTTCCAAACTTAAACTCCTTTTAAATACCCTCTGATTCTGTTGAGGTTTTTCGAAGGGTATCCATGCTGCAGGATAATAAACTGTGCCCTAGTAAAGCCCATTTAATAGACTGCAAGCACGTACTCATTTGCTTAATTACCTTTAGGTATTACTAGCTGTTGAAACATGAAATAGGTCTACAGATAACAAGGGCATATTTTTAGGGCAAGATTCCAGTGAAAAGCTGTAAAAGTGGAGCAAGCTGGGATGGCAGTAATAGTTTGGGAGTGCTGGAGTTGGATTAGCCCAGCTATCTTAGCCTGTTATTTTGGAAGGTTTAAAGTAGACGTTCATTTCCTTATTGGCTAGGCAGTAGAATTTTTAACTAGAAGAGCCTCGTTTTTTGTCAAACCACTCGCAGGGTTTGTCACGTCCCCCACCCAAACTCCATTTTTGTTGAAGACAAGTGTTTGCATTTTAACCACTACAATGTTAGTTTTAGTGGTTGTGGAGCATAGGGTTCCTTTTTAATGGTAGAGTTGCGAAGACTGTGCATATGTTTTTGCACTGCTATGATAAAATATGTACTGTGATTTAGCAGGTTTTGGTCTCCTTCACCCCATCCCTGCCATATTACTCGCATACCTCTCTACCTCTGGTTTAAACTGGCAATGTTAGAAGAAGTGCAATGCTGCTCAGAAAGTGTTATCCCTGATCAGTGATGCAAATCGTGATTTTATTTAAGAACACAGGATTCATATTTTTAGCTCGATTGCTCCTTTTAGAGCAGAATTCCATCCTTTTTGTCTCTCCATGTTGCCCAGTCCTCAGGACACACAAACGATGCAGGTTTTGTTAATTGGAGAAATGTTTATTTACATCATGGGTAGTCAACCTGGTCCCTACCACCCACTAGTGGGGTTTGGGATTTCAGGTGGGCAGTGGTGGGTTCTGCAGAAAACGCCCAGTGGGCCTTGATGACTGTGAACCAAGGCTGGCAGGGGAGATCCTTTCATCTTCCATGCCGGTCCATGCAGAGCCTTGCTGCAAGCCCTCTTGGGCTGGTGAGGAGATCAAAGATCTCCCTCACTGGCCCGCAGTCACTTCGTTCCAGCAGAGGAAGGGAAGGACCTGGGGGCTCTGTGTTCCTCCCGCGAGCAGGCTGGTCAGAGCATTGCCGTGTGTTACCATGGCAATGCTCCAATACAGTGCTGCGCTCGCAGGAGGACAGGAGTGTCGGCCAGCAGCCAGAGGAGCTGCAGGCTAAAGTGAACATGCCACCACTGGACCAGCAGGGTTTGCAGCATTATTTCCCCCCGCCCTGGTAAAAGGTAAGAAGAAAGGAGGGGGAGACATTAACATAGATTCTTACATCTCACCCACCCACACAAAGCATAGACCTTATGGACCCTTCACACACAAACACAGACTACCCCCTCACACACACTCTACACCCCTCCCACATACTGACTCCTTCACACATGTTTTGTCACTCTCACACACGCACAGCGCCTCACACACTGCACCCTTCACTCACGTACAGCACCTCTCACCCACATACAGCACCCCTCACACATAAACACACACACAGCACCTCACAGACACATAAAAAAGGGAAAAAATAGATAAATGTAAGTACATATATATTAAAAACGCACTTGCGCTATAAAATTTGTTAATGCGACCCTGGTGGGCGATAAAGAAATTTTACCATCAACAAGCATACAAAAGTGGGCAGTAGGTAATAAAAGGTTGACTACCCTTGATTACATCATGGGATGTTAATTTACTACCTCAGTGGACTAAGTTGGGAATTACCGGTCTCTGTAAATGATAGCTAACCCTGGTATTCCACAGATCACCCTGGGAATTGTAAATGTAATTGTATCAGACATAAAATATGGTGAACTTCTCTGTTGTAGGAAAATGCCATATCTGTTCTCTAGGAATCTTAATGCACCTGACCTTTTTATGTTCTAATTAATGCACATAGATCTGATTCAAAATGAACTAATGGCAGAAAACACCATTTTGTAAAGGTTTTTTTGGTTAATGTTAAAACAAAAGCATGTAAAATATTTACTGTTGCAATTTGTCTTGTCTTTGGTTTAAACCTTCCAAGTCAACCCTGTTTCTTCCACCTTCTTTCTTACTCTGTGTTTGCACAATAGGTGTTCTAATAGTGTTTGAATACAATCTGTATTCCCAAGTGATTCATGGATTTAGTTATACAGCTAGGTGAGTGTGGTTTCGTGAAGAAAGGTTGTGAAGGAATGGCATGTAAGTAGTTTGCTCTCTGATTGTATGGAGCCTTTATCAATAGATGTTCTAAACAAAACAATTCAAGGGAGCAATACATATGGTATACAAATGACTATTTTATACATTCTTATTCATTTTGTTTCTTAGACTCTGTTATGTAGATATTCGTAAGCATAAAACATTTTGAAGTGTTCAAACATTCATATAGCCATGTAAGACCACTTTTGGTTGAAACAAAAAAAGGGGGCTCTTTGCTAAAAAAATAAAATAAAAACTTTTAAAGTGGATCTGGGGTTTTTGTATAATTTGCAAAGATCCCCAATTTGTAACGTTGCTGCTTGTTGGCTAGTGGCAGCAGTAGGGTGCAGGTGTTTTACATACCTGAGACTGTTCCTTGCGACCTCTGCCATCAGCATGCGGTGGGTCCTCTTCAGCTCTTGGAGATGTATCTACCAGGAGCCAACCTAGTGTTGTACAGTTTGTTCAGTACTAAGGTCTACGGATGATAGATATGATGAGCAAGACCATGCCTAATTTCCACCGCAGCCGCTCGTGATGGCTGAGGGAAATTACAATTTTTTTTCATTTAAGTGGCCCTGCTTTTGTCAGTTTTTGGCAAGTGGAGGGAAAATACATAAGGCAACGTAGTCCCTACTTTACTTCATGTATTTTAGAAGAAACTAATTGAAAAAGAATTGATCAGGAGTAAGGAAGAGAAGAGGAATAGATTAAAGTAGCATTTGCTGCTTTTATTACGTGTCACAATATTTCACTGTCGACTATATTTGAATTATAATGGATTCTAAATTCTGTCTCTGTGTGACGCTGCACTTTTTCATAAAACGTTTTATACAATTTACCGACCTACTTAATTACAAAGCATTCGGTAGGAGAGAGTGTTTCTCAAAAGGCTATCATGTACATGTCATTAGCTTGGCAACTGATCCAGTTGTAAATTTAACTAAATTTAATGAACAATTGTAAATTGTAATACAACTGTAATAATTTTTTTTTTTTTAAATCTCCTTTGCTAGTACCAAGCCAGGTGTTCAGTGTGCCAGGGAAGATATCACTGCTATAGTAAAAATTGGGGCTGAATGTGATGTCAAACGATGGAAATCGTGTTTGGACCCGGATCCACTAGTTAAGAGAGCAATGGTCTTAATTGAAGTATACTTTTATGTTAGAGACCGGTAACACTTTGGCCTGACCACAAGCACCAGACCAGCAGTCATGACGGAAACTAAAGCAGTAGCAAGTACCGGGAGGTTATCATTCTAAACAGGAAACATCTGTTGGTTCTCAGGAAAGGTGTTACAGTACAGGATCTCATTTAGGACAATGAAAAAGTCCTCCAGCAAGAACCCAGTAAAGATATAATGGCTTCTCTCCTGTCTATCAGCACTTGGTAGAAAAGGAGCAAATTACAGTTAGTATTTGTGATGTACAGCACCTTTAAAATATACTTTTTTTTGGGGGGGGGATAAATTCATTTCTAGTCTGATGTAAGAGTACAATTGATCCTGTCTAATATTTTGCTTATCAATTAGACTATTTTGTCCTTTTTAAGGTAATAAATTGGCATCTTGGAATTACTACAAATGTATATTTGCTGTAAGGGGTTTTCTGTAACCATAAAAACCGAGAATATGAGACTTCTGAAAATGGTTAAAAGCCTAGTGAAACCTTAAAGGTAAATTATAGTGTCATGGAAACTAATTTGGTGACATGAGACAAAGTAGTCACTATTTTGCCCTGTGATGTCTTTTGAATACAGTGAACACAGTCAATGTGAGTATTTCATAAAGATTACACTTTTTGGGATGCTTTCAGTTTCCAAGCTAAGATCTCGCAATCCATCAGTCAAAATACTTCCACAGCAGATCAAATTGCAGAAATAATGGCCAGAGGATTGGGGTTAGTCACCTCCACAACATCTGACAGAGAGCCGGAAGATCTCTGTGTAAGCTAGGTCTGGCAGTGCAGGGCTTAGCTCTTTGGTTGAGAGCTAGCAGCTAATGCTGCAGGGGTTGGCTAAGAAGATCTTCTGGCAGTTTTTTGGATGTGGGGGTTGAGTGGCAATTACAGTGGGCATGAGAAAAGGAAAATTGAAAAAAAAAAGAAAAAAGTGCAGCTTTAAAGGGACACCATAGTCACCTGAACAACTACAGCTTAGTGTAGTTGTTCAGGTGAGATCTATAGCTCCCTGCAGGCAATCTAATGTAAACACTGTATTTTCTCTGAAAATACAGTGTTTACATTGATAGCAAGTCCTTCTGGTGGCCGTCTGAGTGACGGCCACTGGAGGTATTCCTATCATGTATGGCCCTAAAAAGGCCATGTACACGTCAGACGTATTAAAATACGTCTGACGTGTGCAGGAGAGAGAAGGCACTGTGTGCGTGTCTTCTCTCTCCTGCCTGTCAGCAGAGGAGAGGGGGCGGGAAAAGACCGCGAGCTGAGCAGTCAATCAGCTCAGGACTTCATAGGGTGGCATGAATGCCGCCTTATGAAGTATGTGCGGATGTGCAGCGAAGCCGCGCATGCGCACAAGGGAGCAATGACGCTTCCAAGTGGAAGCGTCTGATTGCTTGCGCCCACCTATTTTGTCATTTTGACGAAATAGGGGGCGCGGCTTCACGAGGCTCCCGGCGCTGGAACCAGGTGACTGAAAACGGCTGCCTGGAGAGTCCCTTTAAGTTTGTGTACATCTGACTAACTAATGTTCAAATGTTGTCAGTTGTCATTGTGGCTGAACACCTCCTGCTGAGGAGTAATATTATGTCGCTTTTTGTAGAAAAAACTAAAAAGTTGAATCTCAGCACTTGTAAAGAAGTTTTTTGTTTCCTTTGTGGGGGTAGAGGGACAGTGTGGAGAGGGTGGTTGAATATGATGTGGGAATTAAGGTAGCTGGTTGGAGGGTTTGGCAGCCTTGATTGTCATAGCAGGTGATTGGGGAAATGAAATGACCTGAGAGGATTATGTAATGATGTCTATATACATGAGGTAACCCCTGCCATGGCTGTGTGTTCTCAGGTCTGGAAGGGCTGTAAACATTTGTTATTTGTTAACCTTTTTCTCAAGGAATGATTTATATCACGAGCATGACGGGGCTTTTAACAAGCAGTGTAGACGCCCCTATCAAGCATGTGCCTACTCTGTCCAGTGGGCAATCTGGCCCTCCTTTTACTTCAGTGTTTCTTGGAATTGTCAAAAATGTAAATACTTGAAGCTGATCTGTTAGTTGTCTATTAAGTAAAAATTGGAACATACTTAAAGGGAAACTATTTCCAAAGATTTTTATTTTTATGTTTACTTATCCCTTTATTTAACAAATAAGTATGTGCCAAAACTAAAATTAAATGTAGAAATCCTCACATCTTTATTCTGCAACTTCCATTTTAGCCCGAGGTCAGTCATTGTTATAAGCTCTGTCCTTGGCACCTGGCAGTCGGTAGAGATAAGGCAAACACCGAAGAGAAGAAACTAAACAACATTTCTATTTCAATTCTTAATTTTTTATGTTTTTCCTGGCTTTACCATGTCTGAACTAGATGATGATATTTGTTAAATCTTTAATAACATTTAAAGGAAAACAAAGAATCTCTAACATAAGTTATATGTGATTCTCAATATTTTATTCTGTTATAACTCAAAGAAATCGGTCTAGATGAAAATTCTTGTTCTTGGGTAGAACATTGGCTTAAAAATGGAGTACAAAGAGTTGTCATTAATGGTAAAATTTCAAGCTGGAGAGAGGTGGCAAGTGGTGTCCCTCAGGGTTCTGATCTGGGACCCCTCTATTTAACATGTTTATAAATGATCTTAAACAAAGCATTGAAAGTCATGTTTCAATGTTTGCAGATGACACAAAACTCTGTAAAGGGATACAATGTGAGCAAGATATTACTTTGCTGCAGAGGGATTTAGATAGACTGGACACTCAAATGACAGATGAAATTTAATGTTGAAAAACGCAAAGTTATGCACTTTGGCGTAAAGAAAGCACAAGCAACGTATACCCTTAATGGAAGCGAATTGGGTATAACAACACACGAAAAGGACTTGGGAATTGTTGTAGACCACAATGTGCAATGTCAATCAGCAGTGGCTAAGGCCAATAAGGTATTGTCATGCATGAAAAAGGGCAATAATTCTCGTAATGAGAATATCATTTTGCCTCTTTATAAATCACTGGTTAGACCATATCTTGAATATGCTGTGCAATTTTGGGCACCTGTTCTAAAGAAGGATATTATGGCACTAGAAAAAGTGCAGAGGCGGGCTACAAAATTAATAAAAGGAATGGAATATATCAGCTATGAAGTAAAATTATCAAATTTAAACCTCTTTAGTTTAGAAAAACGTCGCCTCAGAGGGGATATGATAACAATATACAAATATATCCGGGGCAAATACAAACCATTGTTGTGCAAATCTATTCACAAACCAGTCTTTACATAGGACACAAGGTCAAACGTTTAGACTGGAAGAAAGAAGATTTCATCTAAGGCAAAGAAAAGGTTTTTTTTTTTTTTCTGTAAGAACAATAAAGATGTGGAATTCTCTGCCTGAAGAAGTGATTTTATCAGAGTCTATACAGATGTTCATACAGAAACTAGATGCATACTTGCAAAAACAGAATATTCAAGGATATCATTTTTCAATGTAGGGTAATAGATTCTTGATCCAAGGATTAATCTGACTGCCATTCTGGGGTCAAGAATGAATTTTTTTCCAAGTTTTTTGCAAAATTGGAAGTCCTTCAAACTGGGTTTTTTTTCTTTTGGGTTTTTTTTTTTTTTGGCCTTCTTTTGGATCAACAGCAAAAAAACAAATGTGAGGAAGGCTGGTTTTGATGGACGCAAGTCTCATTTCAACTATGTAACTATAAATTCCAGAGAAATGACAGTTCCACTTTAAGACATAATATGAAAACCCTTCATTTTAGTATTGCAGGAAATACGATGAAGCAACTCCTGGCAAGCAAAGATTCCAAGAATTGCAAGACAAATGTCACAAGCTTATTTGTTTCAATGTTGGGTTATTTCACATATTTTTATTTTCTGTACCTACATCATCTGATTTAAGTTTTTTTTTTTTTTATTATTATTATTATAGATAATATTGTAAAAAGTACATGTATACAACTTTAACAAAATTTCCCCTCCGAGAGTATGGATGCCTTTAAATATGCTATAGCATTAATGGTTTTTACGTTTTACTCCTCGTTTTGTACTTTAAAAACCATGATGATTAAGCATTAAAATAAATTGTGATTACTATGTTATTAAGAAATATGCACTGATATTAATCACAGTATATAAAACACTATTTATTTTTATTTTTTTTAAACTTAGAAAAGGTGCACAAATCTATACTTGTTAACATTTGTATTACCGTATTTTTCACTCCATAAGACACACCACACCATAAGATGCACCTAGTTTTTAGAGGAGGAAACACAGAAAAAAAAATATTCTGACAAACTGTCCCATAGTATTTCTTAACACTCCCCCCTCTCCTGTCCCATAGTGTTCTTACCCCCCCCCCTTGTCCCATAGTATTCTTCCCCCCTCCCCTTGTACCATAGTGTTCTTCCCTCCCTCCCCTTTTCCCATAGTGTTCTTTCCCCCCTTCCCTTGTCCCATAGTGTTCTTCCCCCTCCCCTTGTCCCATAGTGTTCTTTTCCCCCACTCCCCTTGTCACATAGTGTTCTTCCCTCCCTCCCCTTGTCACATAGTGTTCTTCCTCTCCTCCCTTGTCCCATAGTGTTCTTCCTCTCCCCCCTCCCTAGTGTCCCCTTGTCCATAGTGTTCTTCCCCCACTCCCCTTGTCCCATAGTGTTCTTCTCCCCATGTCCCATAGTGTTCTCCCTCCCCTTGTCCCATAGTGTTCTTCCCCCTCCCCATCCCCTTGTCCCATAGTGATCTTTCCCCCCAATTCCCTCCCATAGTGCCCCTCTCTTCCCCCACTTGGTCTCTGGGAGTTTACTTACCTGTATTGTAGTGTGACTGACCGGAACAGCGCGCACTGCGGTACAGGAACTTAAATTTCAGTTTCCTGTACCCGGCCGGACTGAAAGGAAGTGCACACACTGGCCGACCGGAAACTGAAGCTGTTCTCCCGGCCAACGCTACAATACAGGTAAGTAAACTTCTGCATTCGCTCTATAAGACGCACAGACATTTCCCCTTTTGAGGAGGGAAAAAGTGCGTCTTATAGAGTGAAAAATACGGTAATATTTCAATAAATCTTTTACATTCTGGTTGCGATAAATTTTGACACGATCCATAGTGGATACCGGACAGGCAAATTGTAGCCATATCATTATTTTATTTATTTATATCTATTTATCTAAGCTACCCTAACCTGTCGTCAAATTACTAATGGCTCCAGTGATGGTTTTAAGAATGGAGCCAAAGATGTAATTGCATTTGCATGTTGTATCCACTCCTTCACAGAAAGCTACGGAGGTATTCTCTGTGTATAGCATGCATATACCGTACAAGTACATGCATTGGCAGGGAAAAAAAATAATAAGCAGTGTCCGTGACCTTTTTAAATAAGAACAGCTGTAATACAATTGATTTTGTTTTAAAAGGTTGGTGGCAAGCCACAGGCACTATGTCCTATGCATGAAAGTTTTTGACTAGACGTGTTCCATGGTTAGTGTTTCTGACCAGTCTAACAATACAAAAATGCTGGATAGCTAGCTCACTAATATGTGATACAAATATTGGCAATGATAGTGAACACTCTAATGGTGAATAAGTGAGCAATAAACCAGGAATATATTGTAGAAGTTATGGGCAGCAGCATTGGAACATAGCTGTGTGATACAAAAGCGAATACAAATTCAAAAAAAGTCCTGCGCTCAAACTCCCACTACTCTTTGACGGTGGCAACGACCATCATTTTAACCCCTTAACGCCCTTACGGTGTTATGCCGTCGCGGCTTTAATGGGCTTTAAAGCCATTGCGGCGGCATAGAACGCCATAACGGCTTTGAGCCCCAGAGGACCGGCAGTACTCACCTCCGCCGCAATCCTCTTCTGGAGTGCTGTCAGACCTGATGAAAGCTCCTTAGGGGAGCTGAAACGTTGATGAAGATGTATTTCTCAGAATAAAGAAGATTGCATATTTTGAAAATCCTTGGAGTGCCGGTATTTTTTTCATTTTATATTATGATGCTACCAGAGCACCGGGTCATTTTTTGATTATTGTTAGGTTGGAGTGCAGGAGCTTATATTATATATATATATATATATATATATATATATATATATATATATATATATATATATATATATATATATATATATATATATATATATATATATGTATATGTATATGTATATGTATATGTATATATATGTATATATATGTATATGTATATGTATATGTATATATATGTATATGTATATATATGTATATGTATATATATATATATGTGTATATATATATATATGTATATGTAACAAAATACACTTAGAATGACATTCTATATATATCTATCTATATATAAAATACAAATAACCGCAAATAAATATATAGAGATAAATACATATAATTACATAAAAGATTACATTAGTATACACGTAGAATTTAAATACCTATAAATGCATATATATTAAAATTCGACATGTATATTTAAGTAATCTTTTAAAATAATTATGTGATTTGATTAATTAAAATTTGATTGACATGCCTAACAACACAGGGAGAACGTGCAGAGAATTTAATTCACAAGCACTATATCTGACCCTGTAACTCTCCAAGACTCCATAAAACCTGTACATAGGGGGTACTGTTTTACTCGGGAGACTTCACTGAACTCAAATATTAGTGTTTAAAACTGGTAAATTGTATTACAACGATGATATTTTAAGTAAAAGTGAAGTTTTTTGTATTTTTCACAAACGAACTTCATGTTTATGGACTATATTATTGTTCTAATATTCTTCACTGTTTTAAAACACTAATATTTGTGTTTAGTGAAGTCTCTTGAGAATAACATTACCCCCCATGTACAGGTTTTATGGTGTTTTGGAAAGTTAGAGAGTCACATATAAGGCTTGCATTTCATTTTGTTGACATTGAAATTTGCCAGATTGGTTATGTTGCCTTTGAGACCGTATAGCAGCCTAGGAATAAGAATTACCCCCATGATGGCATACCATTTGCAAAAGTAGACAACCCAAGGTATTGCAAATGGGGTATGTCCAGTCATTTTTAGTAGCCACTTAGTCACAAACACTGGCCAAATATTAGTTTTTTGCTTTTTTCACAAAAAAACTAATATGAACGCTAACTTTGGCCAGTGTTTGTGACTAAGTGGCTACTAAAAAAGACTAAACATACCCCACGTTCAATACCTTGGGTTGTCTACTTTTTCAAATGGTATGCCCTTATGGGGGTAATTCTCATTCCCGGGCTACCACACTGTCTCAAATGTAACATTACTAATCTGGCCAATTTCAATGTAAAAATAGAACGTTCTATATTTGACCCTGTAACTTTCCAAAACACCATAAAACCTGGTAATGGGGGGTACTGTTGTACTTGTGAGACATCGCTGATTACAAATATGTGCATTATTTTTGCAGTAAAACCTAACAGTATTATGACATTTACAGCTAAAATGTGAGGCGGAACTACAATTTTTTTTTAAAGATTAAAATTTCTCACAGTTTTTTACATTTTATTCATAATAAATTGTTTCATATATAAATATTTTATATGAAATGAAAGCCCTGTTTCCCCTGAATAAAATGATATATAATGAGGGTGGGTACATTTAATATGAAAGAAGTGAATTACGGTTGGACAGACATGTAGCGCAAATGCCAGGTTTTGTTTACATTTTGTTTTGTTCACAACGTGTACATTTGGCTCTGTCCTTAAGGGGTTAATAAAAGAAATTAAAAGATAAAAAAAATATATATTTTTATTATTATTTTTTTTTTTTTTTTTATTTAACAATGTACAAACTATATTCCCCCTATTTGAGTATTCTTGTTTGCGGAGACATCTGGGATAACTTTCATGTGGTATATTCCTTGTTTATTTGCTCATTTATTAATCATTAGAGTGTCATTGTTGCTAATATTTGTCTCACATATTTTTCACATTAGTGCGCTGTGCACCATTTTTGTATTGTTGGAATTTATTTGTGATATTGGTTGATTTCACGGTGGAGATTGGCAGCACCGATCCTTGTGTTCACATAGTGCTTTTATACTACACATGTGCTGTTTTTAATTTCTGACAGGTCTATTCATGCTAGTAAAGATTTGTTTATGTTGATGTGAAGTTCTCCGTAAAAATACGTTTAGCTTTTTCCGTTTTGTTTTGTTTTTATGAAGGATGACGACTGTCAGTGACTGGATGATTATTGCATTTTTACCTGCCCTGAGGTGTATCTGTCAACTTAAACTTTAAGAATATTTTAGACATGAAGCTGTGTGAATTAAAGACAGCCTTGTGGACAGTAGGATCAAAGTAGCTGTGGGAAGTCACCGGCTATAAAAGGGGTTATTTCTGAGTATTATATTTAGAAGTTGGTGGATGTACCACTTCCCTCTATGGTTGAAATACCAGGTTCCTTTTTCTACATATGCAGCACCTTATAACATAAAAGTGGTCAATTCCTTTCGTCACTATTGTTTTCTCCAGCTTTGTAATCTCTGGTTTTGCAATGTAGAAAAGTAAATTTATATTCAAGGAATGAGATTTAACCAGAATAGTTTGTAAACTCCCCACTGTTACTAAAAGGCAGTAAATGTATTTCTGTGTTGTTTTGTTACCGTAAAATGAAAACCTCAACATACATCTGTTACTGCTATTTGCAATTACAGCTTGCGCATATAGGCCTGTACGGTTATGAAGGTGTTTTTTTTAAAAGGGCCCATTTTTCTTGAAATTGGCACTTTTAAAAAAATAAGCCTGCAGGGACATGCTGAAGTGCTTTAGGAGACTAGTGTCCTTTTAAGATCAATGTAGGACGAATGATGGGGTACATTAACGCAGTGGTGTGTTTAAACCTGGCATAGCCATGTGCTGTGACTAAATATTTATAAATGTTGCTTAGAGAACATTTTAAGGAGCCTTGTAAGCTATTATATTGTTCTTGTTTGTGTGCGCTGTTCCCTTAAAATATATTGTGGTACAGCAGCAGCACTATTAAGTAAAGAATGTTCTTGGTGTCCCCCATACACCAAAACTCACTCTTTAATGTGGTAGATGTTCGTTTGTACGATCTAGTGGCCCTCACTTCTCTCTTATTTTCTCTGTTGCATAAGAGTATTAGCATTATAGTCCTCACTAATTACAGCACTATGTTTATTAAACAAGACCATATGATCTTTAACACCTTCACTACCAAATTATTAAAGAGTAATTATATACATTTATCTAATTCTCTTTTTCATTTAATCGTTTGTTTTTTGTTTTATTTTGTTTTTGAGATGTTGCCAGGATAAAACATTTTAAAAGTTATATTGTATCCCTTATCTTGCAGGAATTCACAAATGGTTGGAAATAATATTGTTGAAGTAGAAGTACAATTCTTGCTACAAACCTATTTGAGTGATAAGATACATAAACTCAAATAGTCCAATACCCTCCTTATAGGTATTTGGAAATAAACAAATAGCAATTCTGGGATTGTAGCTTCCTACAAATCTTTCCCCATTTAAAATGGCAGCATAATATAAAGCAAATACACCAAGCATCTGTGCAATACAGAGCATTTCATGGTACTGTTGCAATCTGCAAAAAATCCCTGTAGTGGGCCCACCACAGTCTAACCTCCATCCTTCTCCTTTATGGACTGCTAGAATATATACCTACAAAGTTGCTGTAGAGTGGGATTTGAGCGGGTGATTTCTGTACATGTTAAAATTCAGTTTTGTGTTGCTAGGCCAAACAAACATTAGCAAGTACATGTTGTTGGAAAGGAAAAATCACAAAGCGGTTCTGTCACCTTCACTCACTTATAGAGTCTTTGTGAAATACTGCTGTTGACAGCTTTGGAATTTCATTGGCATTCTAACTCTGTCAAAAATTATCTTAAAGGGACACTATAGTTGCCAGAACAACTACAGCTTACGTTTAGTTGTTCTGATGAGTATGGTCTGTTTCTGTATGCTTTTAGTGTATTGTTCGGACAAAAGACAGTGTTTACATTGCTGCCTAGGGAAACCTCCCTGTGGCAGTCACTCAGATGGCCACTAAAGGTGCTTCCTGGTTCAGTTCTGCACAACGTGCAGCAATGATTTTCAGCATCTCCATGCTCTGCATAGAGGCACTGAAAATTCCCCATAGAGAAGCATTCATTCATTGCATCTCTATAAGGAGATGCTGATTGGCCAGTGGGTAGTTTGGCTCCCCCCCCCAACCTCCTCTTTGGCTGAGATCATCAGAATTGACTATCTCAGCCAAGGAGTCGATTGGGGTCAGACCCACATGGAGCTGGGATAAAGGGGATATTTTTTATCTTATTTAAATGGAGGGATGGTTGGCTACCTAAACAGTTTTTATTTTGTTTTGTTTTTTTAGCACTATTAGCTCAGGAATACATGTTTGTATTCCTGACCCTACAGGGTTCCTTTAAGACAAATTAGGTACTACCGTGTCTTATTGTAAAGACAGAGCTTGAAAAAAGCGGAAATACTACTATCCGTTGCAACATTCGTTGCTCCAGATGGTCAGTTGAAGATCCAGAAGTCTCATAGAATTGTCCATAGACTTCTTGTACTCATGGGGGATCCTGGTAGATGAAGCTTCACCGTGAGCTGCTGCCCCCTAAGCAGATGTGTTGCTTTTGGGGTCTCTGATAAATACACAAAGATCCTCAAAAGTGATAGCTGCTTTAAAGGGGAACCTGTAGTCCAAAAATAACAATCATTATTTTAGGACTATGTTTCCCTTTTCTCCACCTTCCTTTTGGCTTAAAAAAATTATATAAGTTAAACAAGATAACTCACCTGATTTCCAATAGGCTCCACTTCTGCAGTTGCCCGCCAGGCCTATGATGACATTATTGGATTTGATTGCAGCATTTGCCAAGTTCCATTCCTACAATCAAATGCTACTATCATTGGCATCTGATTTCAGCAAAAATTCTCACTGTGTTCTGGAGCAGGAATCACCTCTAGTGGCTGTCAGGAAGACCGTTTCGTTAACCCAGTAATTGCAGTTTCTTCAAGGTTAAAATAGCAGGACCACTGCATTAAGATGAAATGGTTTGAGAGACTTTAGTTTTCCTTTTAAGATTGCCATAGATGGTGGATTTCAAATCAAGCTAACATAGGTAATCAACATGAAAATATATATATTTTTTTCAATTTGTATTTTGAGTGTTCACACACAAAAACACAACTGTATCATAGTAGGAGAGTAATAGGGTGGTACAAACATTAGTACATCTGTGATACATCAGTGACATTTTAGTCAGAATATGCTTTACGACATATTTATGCACAATATAGGGGTATGCCTTAATAAAGGGACCTCCATTGGGTTGCATTATAGGCTAGTGTGGTCTGTTTCAAGGTATCATCCCTCTGTCTACCGGGTAACACTGATGGACAGGTTAGAGACATGTTAAACTAAACTAGTGCACATAACAAAGGTATAGTGAAACTTAATGTAACTTGTGTCATTTGTGCTAACCTATGCGTCGGTCAAAGGTCGGCTAGCTTCCTTGTGCCCTTCTTTAGGGAGTGGACACAGGGTAGTCGGTGTCATGACTTTGTGTGTGGGGTAGGGTGCGTCAGCGGTGCGTGCTGGTTTTGGCCTTATGGGCCTGACCTGGGTTTGCGTCTGTCACCTGTAGACGTTGGTGAAATGTCGCCTGGTCACCATCGGGAGGCAAGGTGAGTATTTCCTCTCCTCTCTGAATCACAAATGATCCGTCTGCTCTCCACGTACACTTGATCTCTGCCTCCTGCAGCCGTCCAGCGACTGGGCCTATTTTCCGTTTTGCTGCTAGCACAGCAAAAGGGAGGTCCCCATAAATAGCTACTGTGTGCAGCCCTCGAAGCAAACACTATTAAGCTCTCTTGAGCGGGACAAGATGGCAGACCTAGCCGCAATGTCTTTAGTAACGGCAATGTCGTCTCTGGGCACCTCCGCTGGGGCAGAAGCGGCTTTCCGGATCTGGAATGCCGATGTTACCATCTCTGGTGCAGCACCTTGTTTGTGGGTCAGCAAGCGGTGGAGGAAGGGTATGAGATCATCACCTGAGATCCGTTCCGGTACCCCTCTGAGACACATATTTTTCTTCCTGTGCCTTGACTCCAACACCGTCACAGTCTTGGTAAGCTTCTGGACTTGTTGGGCGAGGTCTTGGATCTCCTCATGAGCGGTCTGTAACCGGTTTTCCCTTTCTCCATTCCTGGACGCCACTGCTGTGAGTCTTATCTCTAGAGTCCCCAGCTCAGCTTGTGTTGCCCGCAGGTCCGCTTTCCACACCTGCCTCATTTCCGTCAAGAGGCATTTGATGTATTTTTGTTGCTGGCAGAGAGTCTTCATCAGAGTCGGACTCGCTGTTGGTGCAGCTAGCCGGTTCCCTGTGGGTTGCCCTGCATCTTGCGATGTCTCTGAGGCCTCATGCTCCTTCTGCACTGCAGGCACCATCTTGGAAATGGCCCGCGAGGTAGGCCTGTCAAACAAGAGCCTGATATCAGGCAGTTTTCAGGTCTCCGGTACATTTAAAAAAAAAAAAAAAATGTTTTTGCCCTGTAATGTGGACTGGGAGGCGGTAGGTATGTCAGTGCCTGTGGGAGCTGACATACACCCTCCCCCCCCCAACCCCGTTGTTTGCTTCTTTTAAACAAGTCATTGTTACATTGTTGGCTCACACCTATTTTCATGTATCTTATAAAAACTTTTAAAATATGTTGACCATCATATTGGAAATATCACGATCACTAACCTTTGTACAAATAGTTTTAAAGATGAATTTGTAGGCCCCAGATTAGTGTGTTTGCATTTTCCACTCTTGTCCTTACGTGTCAAAAGGACATGAGAAATTCCTAGTCTTGTAATCCCTAGAGAAGAGTTTCTGGGGTCTCCTCTCCGTTCAGCTCGGAATAAAGATGGAATAATTGCAAATTCCCATAATCACATGCCAATTGGTAATTTCTCACAATGTAAAATTCAAATGCATGTTTGGCTTAATTTAAGTTTCTACACTTTTTTTTCCCCCTCAAATATATTTTATATATGCAGTTATTTTCCAAAATAACATTTACCAACTTAATGCAAAGTAGCTGTGATAACTTATACATTTCTATTGTAAATAAGACCAAAGAAAATGTTGTCTCCTAGCATTAAGCAAGAACAAAGTTGATAGTGTGCTGACCCCCCCTGCAGGAACACCTGCTTATTACCAGTCCATTGCATGACACAATAATGTAGTTTTAGAATGATCGAAAGTTCACAATGGTAAGGTACACATACATTTTGTTCTTAATGGATGTATATGGATCTTGGCTATTAAAGAAGCATATAGAAATCATTGGTCCATATATATATGAATGTTCTCTGGTCTGTATAGGAGTTTACTTGTGTGTGTAAGTACATCTGGGTAGACCTTGTTGAGAAAAGGAGATTTTTTCTTTGAGATTTGAGCTGGTGAGAATGTTCTTTGGTTGCTCCTTGCTAGTTGTTTATGCTGGATGCTCTTTGAAGGTCTCTTTTTCTATAAGAGTTACCGTAAATGTAGGAAGAACGATCCACTGTCTGCACCTTGCTACAGTGGCACATAAAACTGTTGCATTCTATGCATACTCTTTATCACGCGAGCTCGTCAAATCAAAGTAACATTGAGCTGCACAAGGTATATCTGAAAATAAATAGAAATCCAGTAATAAGGGGAAACTTTCCATTTATGGTTTCAATAAATAAACAAAAAAAAGAGTCAAGGCCTGTTTCAAGCCTTATACCATGTATAGCAGCATCATTACCTTCCTCCAAAGTGTTTAAGAGATCAGCTGTGTATCAGAGATGGCTGTTAGTTTATTTACTGGGTTTCAGTTAGAACCAGATTTGGTTTTTCTTAGCTGCAGTGTGTGGACAGGACATAATCTTAGTTAAGAAAGCAATTTATTTTTTTCTGCAGAGAGTAGAGGCAGGATGTCACAACAGCAAGAAGACATTAAAGTCTAGCAATGGAATGTTTGAAATGAATCCAGCATCTAAATCTTAAACAGCTGAGGAGCATCCGGCTTTATCAAGACACATGGATTAAAATCTCCATATAGTTAAAGCGTTTCTCCTTTTATAATCTCCATATATTTAACAAAAGCAAAAAGAAATCCTGCTGTGAAAAGGTAATTAAATAAATAAAAAGGGGAAAAGTTAACCAGATAGTTCACTAACTTTAGGAACTTGATAGGTATGTTGCTCGATCGTGCCTTGTAAAACCGGTCCAGCAGTAGTTAATGGGGTAAATAGTTTATCCTTCGCTGCAGTTCCTCTCATCACGCAGGATGAGTGGAAATCCACAATAAGTGGATAGCAGCCGTACGGCTGATGCTCTCATTGTAAACACCAGCCTGGTTCACTGTTTAATGAAACTGAATGTGTGAAAAGTTTGGCTGAGCCACCACCCTGGCATTCTTGTAGCCGTGCCTCGCCCCAGGGGTTACAAATTACTGTGCTAGTGCACACACTGATTGAACAAATTGAAGAAAACAATATTCCTTTGTTATGGAGGGCAAAGTCTAATTGAGACATCAATATTTACATATTGCTGCAGTAAGCCACTCTCGACCAGGAGAAGGATAGGGTTTTCACCATAACATTTGCATGTTGCTAGCTGCTATGCTGCTTAAAGCAGGCCTGCACAACCTGCAGCCCCTCAGATGTTCTGAACTACAATAATTCCCTGGCTATTAGTTTTATTAAAAATAACCATAGGCTTTGTAGTTCAAAACATCTGGGGCGGGCAGCAGGTTGTGCAGGCCTGGCTTAGAGTAACACCTTAAGAAAAGCAATTTTTGTCTGTGTATGTTATATTCAAATGTAAAAAGTGTACATGGACGCCCTGCTTGCACTCAGGCGTACGTTTATAAAGCTAAGTCAGAACGGAAACCGTAAAGGCTAGGTAAGTGCATGCAATTTGGGGAAATTCTTACTTCTTGGCAGTTGTAATGTGTAAGAGTTGTTTGACAAACGGAGTACAATATCACATTTGTATTGTTTGTAATTTTCTGTCACTTCCTGCCTGGTAACGGTTTTCGTCTGTAATCTCACACTCCTGTCATCCACATTTATCTAATATTATTCTTTCTGATTTCTCACTTTGCCCTATTTACAAAGGTACCAATTGTCTGAAATTCCTTGCTCCATGTTTTTTCTAGTAGTGGTACGTTACGGATTATATGAGCATAGGCTTGTCAGTTGCATCTGTATTTTAACAGTGATTACCTGTAATCCATATAAGCTTTCATTTACTTGTTCTTCCGCTTTACCCTGGAAGTGTGTTTTTATTCCCCAGGAATGCAGTCTCCATAAATATGTAGAAAATGCCCATCTACTTGTAACAGCAAGCAACCATGTTTCTGGTTCCTCTACCTCCACCTGTCCTGACTAATAATGTGCATATATTCTGTCAGGATTATTCAGTAAAGTCAATTTCAAATTTAAGGTCAAATAGCTGAACTTGACAAATTAAGCTATGCGTTCTGTTTAGTTACTCTGGCCTTAAATGTGAAATTTACTTTATAAAAAATAAATAAAATAAATAATCCTGCATGTGTATCGGGGAGTCATAATTTGAAGTAATCCAATGGTTTCTTTCTTTATTAGGTATTGGAAAAGTGAAACGGAAAACAAATATGCCAGATTCTTCATCAACAGCTGATGATAGCTTCCCAGACACAGAGCGGTTATATGACTTGAACATGCCCGCATATGTTAAATTTACGTACACCGCAGAGAGGGATGATGAGCTGTCTTTGGTAAAAGGCACAAAAGTCATTGTAATGGAAAAGTGCAGTGATGGCTGGTGGCGGGGAAGCTACAATGGACGCATGGGCTGGTTTCCTTCAAACTACGTGACCGAAGAAAATGATAGCCCCTCTGGTGACCAAGTGGGCTCCTTAACAGAGAAATTGGCCGCAGTTGTTAATAACCTTAACAATGGTCGTTCACTCCATGTAGTTCAGGCTCTTTACCCATTTAGCTCATCCAATGAGGAGGAACTTAATTTTGAGAAGGGAGAAGTAATGGATGTTATTGAGAAGCCAGAAAATGATCCAGAATGGTGGAAGTGTCGGAAGAGCAATGGTCTTGTAGGTCTGGTGCCGAAGAACTACGTTACTATCATGCAGAACTTTCAATCCAGTTCAGGTTATGAGCCTTTACCACCTCGCTGTGATTATGTTGGACCCTCTGCATCTGGAAGATTTGCTGGCAACCAATGGTATTATGGAAAGGTGACACGACATCAAGCAGAAATGGCACTAAATGAACGTGGAAATGAGGGAGACTTTCTTATTAGAGACAGTGAGTCTTCAGTAAGTATTTGTGTTCACATTTTTATACTACTTGTAAATTGTGTTTGGTTTCTTGTGAATATGCATTTTGTGCTTCCTGAAAGAGAAAAAATAAATTTTACAATTAAGTAGAGATTTGTACACGCTTTGTACATTACTGATACAGAACATTACAGTGTTGGTTGTTCATACACTAGAGTAAAATTACATAAAAAAAAATAAATAGTACATTTATTTGTGCTCCGCTACACCACTGCCTAAATACAGTGATAATCGTACAGACTTGTTACTGAGAGCAAGACTCAAGCAGTGGACCCAGGTTGAAGACATATGTTAGTTTAGTTTATGATTATGGGACCATGTCTTTTCGTAGCTTAGCATTCCACCAATTAAAATTTCCTCCCCAAACACACCCAACACTAGTCACAAATGTCTCTACCATTCTAAATCTGGAGGCTGGGTGAGGCCTCTTGCCCTTGAAGGAGCCTCGACCACTGGACGCAGCACCCATCTAAAACCCTCTGACCTGGTCAAGAGCTAATGATCTCAGGGATGCTTATAATGCCATCGTTCTACCCACTCATACTGGTTCTATATCATATGTAATATTGAAAAGTACAAATAAATAATAAATAAAAAAAATCGCCAAAAATATATATTTAGGACTTTGATCCAGTAGTTTTCATATGTGAACAGATTCAGATTTTTAAAAGATTCCATTAGTTGGTGGAGTAAATGGTAGTGTTTAATCTCCAGATGTCTAACTTGTTTTATATCTGTACAGAAAACAGGATATATGCTGGAGCTTGTGAGGCAGCCATTTTGTCACACTCTTATTTTCCTGTTATGTCTTAACTGTCTTAGTAACTACACATATTCACAAAGGATGTGACAAAAGCCTTTAAAGTGGCAGCCTGCCATAGTTGGAGAAGTCTATATTTACTTTATATTTTGCTTTAACACAAAGCTCGGAACAAAATCTTTTTCTAGGTTTTCTTTTTAAGCATGCTGAGGTGCTTCATGGCTGTAGATTGGTCAATTAATAACAGTACACCACATAATTGTGGGTTGCATCGGCAGAAAATGGACAATTGCTGGCTATTTCACTAGGGAAGCAGTCTAGCGATAGTCATTGAATGGTTCTCAGGCTGCTAGATCACCTTGGGAGGCAGTCACAATAATCAATTGCATTAACTGTCGGTTAAGACAATATGATCACTGTGAATGGCTCTCTCAGCTACACTTAGCTTGCAGGCCAGAGTTCATTGTTGGGATTCGGATTAGGGTTACCTGGTATCTGGCATATATAGTAGGGTACATACACATACTGTAAAATTTGCCAGAAAATAGTGTGAAAAATCTAAAAGATTAAATATTATTTTATTTATTTAGCCCCAGCAAATTCTTTAGCGCTGTACAATGGGACCAGCAGATGTGGCAGAGGTTGGTTGTGAAATAGTTCAAATCAATGTGCCAAAATGCTCTTGATTAAATACCCGAGGGGGTCGGCTTTTTACAAATATATATGAAATGTGTATCTGTTTTGGATTATGTGACTGTTGTTGTCGTAGATTGGAAAAATTAGCAATTTTCAGTCAGGAATAATAAATAATCTGTTTTGAGGGGTGTTATTTGGGTTAGTTATAATATTTGTTTAGCAATTGTAAACAATATGTGCTTTTATAGGAAAGAACTATATTAGATAAAAATCTAATAGAATATCCAGGAATGGTTTACGTTATGTACCTTTAAATCTCGTTAAAATAATAAGACTAGTATTGTGGTAATAATTGCTAAGAGTTGCATAAAAATATATATAAATAAATTATTCAACAGAGCATTAACAGTAATGTCCGATTGTTTGCAAATTTAAAAAGAAAGAAGAATAAATTGTCCAATTAGTAGCAGTCTTTAAAATAGATGCAATGTATCAAAAAGTAGCAGCAGTCTTTTAAGTTGTAAGCTGACTCAGTTTACTCCAGTTATAGAAGAACTGGTATTTGGATACTGAGTCAGTTAGTATGCTTTTAGTACAATATTATAAATGGTCCTAGTAAATAATAATTGTACCTGTGTTAGAGTAACAAATATAAAATTTCATTGATAGGTCATAGTTGGTGACCCTCAATCAAATATTCATTTAATTCACCATAAAAACTAAAGTGCTGAAATAGTTAAAATATCCAATATTTATTACAAAGAATCAAATTAAAAGCTATATGTGGCACTCACACTTCGGTAACAAACTTCTTGCCCGGTTGCAATTAGGAAGCTTGGTGTATGCAGCAGTTACAGTCCGATCACCAAATGAATGGATGAGCGGACTCTCCGTGAGCCGCGTGCGTGTCATTGTTTTCTTCCTACGTTCAAAGGCAGTGTAAATTTCAATAAAAAAAAAAACTTCTTGCTCGTTTGCAATATGCAGCAATTACAGTCCGGTCACCAAAGGAATAGGTGAGCGGACTCTCCGTGAGCCGCGTGCGTGTCACTGTTCCTGCGTTCCAAGGCAATGGAGCTGTTTTACGATAGGTGCCAAAAAGCAATGAGTGTAGTAAAAAAGTCGTCCTTACGCGTTTCGTGAGAAAGGTCTCACTTCATCAGAGGCACCTGTCGTAAAACAGCTCCATTGCCTTGGAACGCAGCAACAGTGACACGCACGCGGCTCACGGAGAGTCCGCTCAGGTGATGTATGCTGGGAACTTCAATGGCATGCACTCACATATCATTTGTAGCTCTCCCCTTGATGGTTATATCTAACCGTATGCAGTGCTGCTAGCATTTTAGATTCCTCTGATTACTGAATAGGGATCAAAAATTTACAATACAAAAATAAATAATTAACACAAAACTCTTCAAAGGTTGATTCCACTGCTCATAAAAACACATTGGCTTTACACACTGCGGTGACCAGCTTTACAATACAACCAACTGTTAATATAAACCACCAAACATATTATAAACGGTCAGTAAATGCAAGCAGTGTCGCCAATGGGAGGTATGGATTGGAAAGCGTGTGTGTGTCTGTAGAGTGTATGTACATGTACAGTAGTAGTCACATTCAGGTTTTTTTGCCCATATGTTTCAAATATTATAGGAGTAAAAATACTTGATTTGCCTAGTTTAATTTTACTACACAGAAAGTGATATTTCAACAGCAATGCCGATTTGTCCCATCAGTATTATGTGATACAGCTTGATGTAATCAAGGAAATATTGCATGTCTCATTTTATTTCTTGTGATAGATATCCAAATTTTCTTTTAATCTCATGCTTTATTCCTTTCTTTTAAAGCCAAATGACTTTTCGGTGTCCCTGAAAGCCCAAGGAAAAAACAAGCATTTCAAAGTGCAGATGAAAGACAGTGTGTACTGTATTGGCCAGCGCAAATTTACTACATTGGAGGAATTGGTAGAACATTACAAAAAGGCCCCTATATTTACCAGTGAGCAGGGTGAGAAACTCTATCTAATCAAGCCTTTGTCTTGAGGATGCAATGTGGAAATGAGGGAAGGATTTCCAGGATTGGTGCATTCACTGAACGACTGAAAAGACGACGGCTGGAAGCCACGGAACGTACCAAAGGCATCTTTTGGCCCAGTAGCAATCCTCCTATATCACTATTCCCAAGTCCCAACTGAGATATTTTCCCCTTTTAGAATTTAATTCTTCTCTATTATTTTTATTTGCCACCACACTTTCTGTGCAGTTTCTCCACCCCCTTTCTTTCTACATTATGCCTTATTATTGCAACATATCAGATTCGGTGTAGAATTGTGTAACCTTCTGTAATCAATTATGTCCTGAGCAATGTGACTGTGGATTGACAAGAAAAGATCATGTCTGATATCTAGCATCTACATGCTGCTTCGTTTGGGTAGGGGAGGGGCTCTTCAAGTATATGTTGGGTTTTTCCCTTCATTCCATGCTATGAACTAAGAATTTTAAAAGTCCGCCTGGATCAAATGCTGTTCTCACTGTGGAAATGCTGTCTTCGGTTTCACAACCCCTATCAGACTGTACATTATGTCAGCTACAGAAGTGGGATGTGTGCTAACTGTCTTCTCTTCTTGTTATTATCCAAGACATTTCATATTTATTTGTTTAAAAAAACAAACCTTTGATTACATTTCAGGTGGACTGTTCCTTAAAATGTTTTTAATACTTAGGTTGTTCATATGTTTAGCTTTATATGGCCTTATAGGAGACTTTTAAAACAATGCAGTCTGCTGTTATAAGAACAGACTTGTGAATGTGCAGGTATAGAACTAGAAAATGCCTGTCTCTACAAATACAATAAAGACTCTTACTTATTGAACTTCCATATGATCCTCCATTGTGCTCAATTGATCTGAATGTACTGGTTCCATATTCAGCTCCATGTAGCATAAGATTTGGTATTCCATTTGGTAACATGTATGTGTATAGGAATTTTAAATACAGGTGTAGACTGTTCAAGCCATTCGACAATTAAGGAGTACCTGCATGTAATGTAAGATTGCTCCTTTAAGAGCAGACTTAAGATATATGGCCATAAGGTAAACCAGGCGCTGTCTGAATAATTCTTATTGAATCTTGTACCAATAAAAGCACACATTTATAACCTGTGCTACTGATGTGGTTTGACATTGAATGGTAAGAAAATATACTGTACCTCACCTTAAAAACTTTCAGAGTTATTCAATAAAGTGAGGCATTTTGAGAATTTAACATTTAAGGCTTAATCGGAAGCATAGCTGACAGACGATATTTCTTGTTTGACTATTGTTACCTCTAATTTGATATTCACTTTGAATTCCTGACATTGCTCACTTTGTGAATAGCCCTCTTTATGTTATATGTGATGAGCAATTAAACAATATGCTGTGTTATACATGTGACTAGAAACTGTGGCCAATTTAGAGACACTGACAGAGTGCCCTTGCATAATCATTCATGGACAAAAGAAAAATCAAGCACTTAACTTTCAGGTATAAAGAACACCTCTTTATTAAGTAGAATGTGATGAGACTGATAACATGAAGTACATTGCATTAGTGTGTTCTGTAACCGGTTAGCTGCCAAAGCCAAATATCCTCCTAAACTATACAGCTAAAGTTGTCCTTCCTTCCTTTGTCCTTTTCCTTCCCTCCCTTCCTTTTATGCCCCCACACACTGGCACGTTGTAAACCAATGTTCACTTTCAATTCATACAGTGACCCACAATGCCTGCCTTTGTAGATTAATTTTGCATTGCATTCGTGTATTGGAGGTTCAGCTAACCAACAGTTCAAAGTGAAACACAAAAGTTTAAAGGGACACTATAGTCACCAGGACAACTAGAGCTTAATGCTTCCAGTGGCAGTCACTCAGACAGACACTAGAGGTGCTTCCCGGGTCAGTCCAGCACAACGTTCAGCGCTGAACATTCCTTATAGAGATGGCTTGATTCAATGATGATTGGCCAGCGTGGCATTAACCTCCCAATGCTTTCCTATTAGAAAACATTGGAATAGCTGAGATCAGCAATTCTGATGATCTCAGCCAAGGAGACTGATTGGGGTTGAGCCAGTGCTGGCAGACCAGTGTGGTGCTTGAATAAAGGTGAGTTTTAAAGGAGGGCAAGTGGGGACCAGCAACCTAAACAGTGTTTTTAATACTATAGGGTGAGGAATTACACATTCCTGACCCAATAGTGTTCCTTTAAAGTTTAACCCCTTAAGGACCAAACTTATGGAATAAAAAGGAATCATGACATGTCACACATGTCATGTGTCCTCAAGGGGTTAAGCTTATTTTATACACTCTGCTGGACCATACACTATTTCAACTTCCTTACAGACCTTTGTAGGGATTGACATGTTTAAGAGCCATTATAAGCTATTTGTAACATTTAGTACTAGTAATTTTTATCTATAATGTACACTTTAGATGTTCCACAGGTTTTCTAAATGTGTAATGGAAAATGTAACATTTAATTACATGCCATTCATATAAATGTGATCTTGGCTCAGTGCTGTGGTATATATTGACTCCTGGCGTTCACAAACATGTTACTTTGAGTTGTCAAAAGGTAGAGCTTTCATTCTGAAGGCATTGTGCAGAGAATCAATCTTTTTGCCACTCATAAGTTTGAGTTTTCAAGGCGACAACTAGTTATCAAAATAGTGACTCAAGACAAGATGGACAACTCTGGACCTTGTATGTTCCTTTATGAAGATGGTTTGAACCTGCACCGTAAGGACTTCAGCTACCTTTTGATTTAGAATCCCAGGTGGTGGTTGTAAAAGATAAGGTGTCTTGTAGCTGGTACAGGAATTTGAAAGATAGAAGAAGATATATTTCTTTCATTTTTCGTAAAACGATCATGGAGTTAATATTGTTCATGCAGATCTTCAAAAGGTATCAGCATGTTCTCACGTTAGATTTAATATCTCTAGAAAGCATGTACGTAAAACATGAGTAACCGTTTATCTTTAGTTCTTATTTTACCTTGAAAGCAGTGGTGTCTACATTTCTTTTTATTTTTTTTTGTTCCATCTAAGTCTTAAGTTTTTATATAACTGCACAGGATTTATTAATATCTGCATTCACTACTGTATACTGAAGTTTGTATTTTGTATGGCATTTGAGCATCAATTGTTCCATTCTAATCGCAATATGTGTGGCATGTAAAATAAATTTACATAAAAGAAAAGTGATTTATCTGTAATATATATATTTTTTTTCTCACCAAGTTATTATAAAAGAGTGCAGATTGTGTGTCTTTTGGGGTCTTTTTTATGGTTCTTAATGAGGTGTAGTTAAAGGATACAATATTTTAGATTTCTATAAATGGTAACCATTTATTTTTAAATACTGTTAAACGATTACTCCAGCAACCATGACCACATTTTTATTTTTTATTTTTATAAAGTAGTCATGTTGTTAGGAGCCTGGATGTGGATTGTTTCAGTTTGAAACTCTGCATATCCAGTTATTTTTTTTTATTGTGTCTCAGCATGCCCTGCAGGCTAAAGACAGAGTAGTTGCATCTCCCTTCCACACTGAATGTAGTCGTCTCCCCCCAAATCTCTTTTGGTATTTTATATACACACTGCCTTCTCTCTGTCTCACCATCCATTTGGGGACTCAGTGTGCACATGTGCTCTGAGACAGTTAAATGGTCCAATCAAAGACCTCTGTACAATTATGGTGAGCATACGGAGTGGTGCCGGGAGCTTTGCTCTGGGCTGAATTCAGGTAGGTAAAACATTATTTTTAAACACTTTTTTGAATGTTTCTTTAGGGGGCATTATTCTACGCAAAACAAAAAAGGATTGGAGAAACCTTAACTGTAGACCACCCAAAAAAAATCCTCCTACAGTGTGGTGTCCGGAGGGAACATAGATGTCTGTAACCTGGCACCATCTTCATTTGCTCCTTGACTTTTGTTCCTGTTTCTGTATTTCCAAAACCATTTTATGGAAGACGTTGCAATCTTTCATAACTGATCTTGCACTAGTGCAGTGGGATGTCTAGACATCCATTGTGCATCACACAAGAAGAGTCTGGTTCCCATCAATGGATTTATAATACAGTCTTCATACAAGTTTATGAACGTTCTATGTTTATGAAAACCTCAAACATGACAATCTGTTTTTTAAGATTATTTCTTTATTAGCCAATTTGTGTTAAAGGCACATGTTTTTATTGGGGCAAATAAACAATTTTTTTTTTTTATTCCCCCCCTTTCTTTTGTGGGCTGTAGAATGTCCCATTTAATTGCAGGGAGTTGAGAGGTAGCCATATTTAGAAAAACCTCTCTGTCATGTATGGCAATGTAGTAAAAAGGCAGAAAAGAATATGTCTTCCTCTTAGACAATAGATCTCTTTAACCCTTTAAGGACACATGACGTGTCACATGTCATGATTCCCTTTTATTAAAGTAGTTTGGTCTTTAAGGGTTTAAGAAAGATACAGAACTTCTGAACGTTCTGATGCTCTCTGTGGCTGTCTTTAGCCTCTCATCTAACCATTGTAGGCTGGAAATAACTTCAATTTTTATGCTTTATAAAGGTCTTGACTTAAAAATCATTAGATGCAGAGACCCACCTGTAGACCAGTAAGGGGCTCATTTAGTCAGAAGTTTCCTATACTGGTCTTGTCCCATAGCCTTCTGCAGATGGTTTTTCAGCTATGAGATTTATTTTTATCAGCCACTTTCAGTTTTCTAAATAGAGTTCTCCGTGTTGTACTCTTGTGTCACTAAGAGTTTTGGTAAGTAATTGTTGCACAATTTAGAAGAATTTGGAACAAAAGAGGAAGTAAAACGTCTTACTCTGCTGTGTGTGGGGGCTGGGGGGGAGGTTGAAGAGCTAAGCTTGGTGCAGCAACTTTTTTGGCAGTTTGTCAGTGTCCCTACACACGGTAGCTTTACAGATTCTCATTACATCCTAACCCAGGGATAGGAAACCTTCGGCACTCTAGATGTTATGGACTACATCCCCCATAATGCTCTTACACCCATAATACTCTCAAACCATCATGGGAAGTGTAGTGCAAAACATCTAGAGTGCTGAAGGTTGCCTATGCCTGGCATAACCTATGCAGCAGCCATAGGTTGGTTATGGTGCCAATCTAAACTAGAAGATTGGATGAATTATTTGTGCTACTGGTGAAATCACATGAGATTTTTGCTTTCCCCTCCCCTATGCGATCTCAAATAAAAAAAATATCTGATGCATGATGGGATTGAAAAATCTGTGATACAATCAATCTGTCAACATATGTTCATCCCAGAAGCAGTGTTTAGACGTGTATGGAAGGTGAATATTCTTCGTATCAATCATGACAAATGAGATGAAAGAAGGCATCCCCAATGCAAAATGCAACGTCACAGCGTTATCAATCTTTCCGCAAAGTTTCCAGCAGGAAAACTGGTATTTTATTTCTTTAATCTAGGTGGTCTTATGAAATTGATATTTCTGCAAATACTAATGGGATTTCCTAGATTATATTTATTCATTCATTTCGATCTGTATATTAGTGTTCTAAAAGTGGTGTGTTTTTTTTGTTTTGTTTGTTTTTTATCAGTCAGTTTCTAGAACACCTTGAAAATAATCAATCCAGAATAAAACATTAACTGAATGCAATTAAATCTCTGATCCCTGCCAACTGGAGGTGACCCACACCCCCTTCTCTCCTAATATTCAAACAATGCTTCTGGCAAATGGAAAAATGGGGCTTCCCTGAACAACTGGCCAAATATTTAGCCATATGATTTCTCTAAATCTGTGTTCTAGTAAAGAGGTCACCATGTTATAACGTGAATATCACTACTTTTTGATAATGGCAATAATTATATAGATACTCCATTGTCAGATATTGTAAATTGTAGCATGCTTATACTGTGGAATCCAACCCTCACCACAAATGTAGTCTAATTACTAATTTCTCTTCTATTTGCATAATTAAATTGTTTCCGAGGTTCATTTTAATTTTATTTTTAAGAGGCGGAGGGGGATTTAGATTCTGCTTATTGTTATTTAGGACTTTAGTGGTGTTATGGGTAGAGTTAGGGTGACATAGGGTTATAGAGACATGTAATTCGTCTTTTATATCAGCTAAAATGATCAGATCTATTGAGCTGTCTGAATAGCTAAAATAACAGATGTTACAAAACTAAGTTAAATTAGGCATCGGAAGGTAATCGTACTGCTATGAAGTGTTGTCGGTTGTAGCATAAAATAATTTCTAAATGTAAATATTAGTTAAAGCTGTAGAAGTACATGTAATTAGATGAGAGATTCTGTATATAAAGCATATCAACTGCAAGTTCATTTTTATGTACAGAACATTTATGACCAAAAAAAAAAATTAAACGCCCAACGTGGGGCTCGAACCCACGACCCTGAGATTAAGAGTCTCATGCTCTACCGACTGAGCTAGCCGGGCTGCTGTTTTCCCTCCCCCACAGAAAAGTCTGTGTGCATGTGTAATGATGTAACTAACTCCAGATGCAGTGTCTGCTTTCTTCAGCAGAAGGGGAGGATATTTAACTCCATAGATTGTAAAGCATTGGTGGTTCAGTGGTAGAATTCTCGCCTGCCACGCGGGAGGCCCGGGTTCGATTCCCGGCCAATGCATCACTTTTTTTTTTTTCTTTCCCCCACCATTGATATGCATGTTAAATTACAACTTGTATAGAGCTTTATCACAACAAAGTTGTTTTGGGTTTTTGATTTTCATTATTGATCTTTGTCACAAGCTAACACACAAAATTTTTTTCTATGCACGGAGATATTTAAATATGCTAAATCTTCCTGGGCAACAGCCAAGCTACTTCTGAATTAATATTTTGTTCACCAAAAACTATTTTTTCAACTGAACGGCATGTTTAAAAAACAAAAAAATTAGGTGAAAATAGGCTGTAACAATAGCAAAGATGAAGAATTTGCATACACTTTTTTCTAACTTTGCTATAGTATTCTACTCACTTTAATTTGTTGTTTAGTAAATATACCCTTTTGTGTTACATATGTTTTGCAGTTCGCTGTAAATGTCATCCAGTTACAGATACTTGATGATACGAAAAATAAAAAATAAATTAAGAAAATGACATCTACGGGTTTAAAAGGCATATTTATTAAAGGTTTAATGAGGTTTATGTTAGATGTGAATATGTAGCCTTAAGGTACTAATAAAATATATTGGTAATATTAAAATGTTTTTTTTTATATCAGCATGTTTAATAAAAATGTAAATACACATGAGAAAAAATTCTTAAAGCAGATGTCACTTTTTTTCCCCCTTTCCTTATGCCCCTGTATCTTAACCCCTTCAGGACGGAGTCAATAGTACACGTTCTGATAAAAACAAAATGTAAACAAAAACTGGAATTTGCGCTATATGTCTGTTCAGCCGTAATTCACCTCTTTCATATTAAGTGCATCCACACTTATTATATATCATTTTGTTCAGCAGAAACTGGGCTTTAATTTCCCATGAACCATTCATAATTGAAACATAATTTATTATGAATACATTTTTAAAAAACTGTGAGAAATTAAGATTTAAAAAAAATTTGTAGACATTTTAGCTGTAACTGTCATAATACTGTTAGCTTTAACTGCAAATAAAACACATATTTGGATTCAGCAAAGTCTCACGAGTACAACAGTAACCACCATTAACAGTTTTTACGGTGTTTTGGAAAGTTACAGGGTCAAATATAGCACATTCCATTTTTCAGTTTTTTCAAATTGAAAATTGCCAGATTAGTAATGTTACCTTTGAGACTGTGTGGTAGCCCATGATGGCATACCACACAGGGGGGTATGTCCAGTCTTTTTTAGTAGCCACTTAGTCACAAACACTGGCCAAAGTTAGCGTTCATATTTGTTTTGGTGTGTTTGTGACTAAGTGGCTACTAAAAATGACTGGATATACCCCATTTGCTATACCTTGGGTTGTCTACTTTTGCAAATGGTATGCCATGATGGGGGTAATTCTCATTCCTGGGCTACCATACGGTCTCAAAAGCAACGTAACCAATCTGGCAAAATTCAATGTGAAAAAAATGAAATGCAAGCCTTATCTTTGACTCTCTAACTTTCCAAAACACCATAAAAACTGTACATGGGGGTACTGTTATACTTGGGATACTTCACTGAACACAAACATAAGTGTTTCAAAACAGTAAAACATGTTACAACAATAATATCGTCAGTAAAAGTGCCGTTCATGTGTGAAAAATGCAAAAAACCTATCTTTTACTAAATATATCATCGTTGTAATACAAGTTACCATTTTGAAACACTAATATTTGTGTTCAGCACAGTCTCCCGAGTAAAACAGTACCCCCCATGTACAGGTTTTATGGTGTCTTGAAAAGATACAGGGTTAAATATAGTGCGTGCAAATTAAATTCTCTGCACTTTCTGCCTGAATTGTTGGGCATGTCAATCAAATTCTAATAATTAAATCACATAATTATGTTAAAAGATTACTTAAATATACATATAATTTTAATATATATATACATATATATGTATTTAAATTCTACGTGTATACTTATGTAGTTATTTATGTAATTATATATATTTATCTATATATATTTGCAGTTATTTGTATGTTATATATAGAATGTCATTCTAAGTGTATTTTGTTACCAATATATGTATATATATTAACAAAATACAGTTAGAATGAGATTACATATGTATATATAATTTATTTAATTTTTAAAAAATATTTTATTTATTTTATCTATTGTAATTATACGTGTATATATAAATATAAAATATATATAGATGTAGTATATATATATATATATCTTGTATATATGTAACGTCATTCTAAGTGTATTTTAATACTAATATATGTACTTATATTAACATTAAAATACATTAAAAACATTAAAATACTGCAGTCTGTGTGTGTGTTTGTATTTAGTAGCATGTGTATATTTTCAGCAGTCAGATGGGAGAATGGTGAAAGAAACAGAACCATAATATCAATCTGTTATTAATGTTATGTATATATTATACTATATACACACTATGACATACACAGACATTGTAGACACACACTCAAAGTATACAGACCATGACACAAGCTCAGACAACAGTAAGATCACACTGTTTATACAAACTACTATACACACTACCACACACACACACTCATACAGATAGTACATACACATCCTGCCTCACATTCACAATGCTATACACACAGTCACACAAAGTACAAACATTGTAAGTAGTTTATTAGTGACTTAGGGAATTTTCTCCTTCCAAATGTTCTCATTCTTGTATGTACATCGTGCCCTGTGATGTCACGCATATATAATTAATTATGCAAATTAGAATTGCAGATATTTTTTTGCAAAAAAGGTGGCAACCCTAGTGCCGGAGTAACTTTAAAGTATAAACCGAACTGCAGCAAAGTATTCAATATTGCTTTAAAAAGCACCTTCTGTTCATAAAGGGAAGTTCTTCAGACATGGTGAAAATATTACGGGCCCTCCAATTGTCCTATTCCGGCTTGCTACATCCCAAAATTTTCAACAGGGAGGACAGACAGGTTGAAGGCCATGCCTTTCCCATTTTTTTTGTTTGTTTTTTCACTTTCAATGCTATTTATATTATGAACATTATATTTTCTCAAAAGGATAAAAAAAAAGATCTTTAATCACGGAATGCACCCATTTGCAGTGGTCAATTAACAGCTGGTTGTCAACATAAGTAATATTTCAAGCGTTTTTTGTTTATATAAATGTAGTGAATAACTAGCAATTTTATTAAAGACATGGAGGCTCCTATTATGCTTCTCTTTCTTTAATTTCCCTCAGCAGCGAAGAGAAAAAATGTATGTGTAACGGATCACCTGGCACCCCAACTGGGTACCTCCGTTGAAGGATGCTCCTAGCGCTTCCTGAGGACTCCAAGCACTCTGGCAGACACCACAATCACCGAACCGGAGAAACAAATAAATGCTCCCAAGCATATGAATGCTGTAAACAGTTGAATAGGAACCATACGAATAGGTTTACTCTCCTCGCAGTCAAACTGGAACAGCATACAATGAATCCTTCCCCCAATAATGAGACGACACTTCACTTTGAGGGTTAAAACAGGAACTCCCTGTACTGTCACATACAGTCTCTTTTATTCCCAATCCACAAACATAGTACAGCCCACAGGGTGTTACAAAACCACCAAAAACCACCAATCAATCCGTACAATACACCCAGACACTCCCACACTATCATACAGTCTGCTGGTGGTGACTTACCTGGCCACCCTACCCCCTCTAGGGGTCCCCTGGCTCTGATTCCCAGGCTGACGCTAACCTCATAGGCTCAGAAGAATTTCAGAGCCTCAGTAAGGCCATTTCCTCTGCCATGGGGGCTATGTCCTTCAGCATTTCACAATCCATCTCCCATGCCCTTAGGCAGGCCCTCCCTGCTCAAGCTGATTTAGTACAGACTCATGCTACCCCTGAAGGGGCTACCGCAGGACGCAAGGCACTAGGCAAGCGCAAACACGCTCAGGACCCCCCCCCCACCCAGGTAAAGCCTAGTTTGATTGACACGCCTCAGGCTGTCTGTGATGGCGCGCAACAACCGCGCAATAGAGCTACTGAACGGGCTATGGCGGCCAGGGAGTGGAAACGGCACGGGCCCATGATTTACCATCTGAGTCAGACGAGGATGGGGAGGAAGGGTCAGATGACCAGTACTCAGATCCCTACGGAGATGAGGCCTCAGGAGATGAGGATCTCCTAAGAACACAATTCCCTTCTAGACCGACTCAGGCCAAAACATAGTCGAGGACTCCTGGGGCAGAGTCAGCCCGTGACGCAAAAGATACCCTTGCGTTTAATCCGGACAATCTCAGACACCCCCGCTCCGCTGAATGGGAGCCCGCTGAGCACATCGCTCAATACCTGGCTCTCAGAGTCCGCAAATCCCTCTCACAAGAGGGTCGTAATAAACTGAGAGCGGAGTGCCCCCGACCCATCATACCTGATGCAGTGGCAAAAACCCCTGAAGTTGACCCGCAAATTGTGCAGTTTTTGGCCAAGACCGGTTGGAAGCCCAAGAAGGGCCTAGATTACTCACTACGCAACTGTCAGGACAAGTTCCTAGACACTCTGGGCCCGGTCACCAAGCTGTACGAACTGCTTGAAGCAGCTCAGTCGGGAGAGGCACAACTGGATTTTGAGGTGGCATTAGGATGGCTCCAACGCCTAGTATGCATGATCGGCAACGCCAACATGGCAATGTCTACCGAACGCAGGAAGGCCATCCTGCTAAAGATAGAGCCCAAGCTAGCAAGCATGGCCCCTAATGAACCTGGTGCCTCAGCGAAAGGCTTACTGTTTGTAGAGTCCTTCGTGAAGGACCTGGGCTCCTATGTAAAGACCTTTACGGCTTTGGACAAAGCCCAATCTTCCATCAAACGGGTGTTTAACCAAAAGGTTTTTGGCGTGGCCGTCAGAGGTAGGAGCCGTCTAGCCGGCCGCAACCCCCGGGGTTTTTCCAGACCGG